TGCATCTGCTTGGTTTCCATTCATATGCCATGGTAATGAGATCGACACGGAAAATTCACTTCTGCAAAGACTGTGACCACTTCTGCAAGCGATCAGCTGATCGCAAAATCACGTTTTGATGTATAACTTAATAATAATATAGAATGGTTTATTATTCGATACAAACTCATCGCAGCTCATGAGCTGAATTGTGAATTCACAGGTAACGTTACATATACAAATTTCCACAAGTTGACATATAAAATCTGTCTAAAAGTTTGCAAACGGCGAACAGGTGACTACATATTTATCTTGTCGAAAGTAACAATGAACATATCTGGATTTGTTACTATATACAGTAACTGCAATTTGTATACAGAATTTGAAGATGTTGCACAGTGCACTTATTTGAATGTTAAAGGCAACTCAAGAGCAGAGGCCAGTGTTATTTTCTATATGACCACATTTTTACCTTTGCCAGAGGGTAATATGTTTTTGGTACCGTTTGTATCTGTATTTGTGTATATGTTTTAGCTAAAGATTTAGCTATTGATGGACTGCCATGACTTAGGAATATTGTACAGTCTGATCAAGTCCTTGGTCTGACTAGGAATTCAAGTGTAAGACACAAAACAAGACTTAACAAATCATGTGAGTTCTTGGCTATATACTTTATTTGGTGAATCCAAATTAGTTTATAAATGATCTCACCATATATTTCCAGTGAATTCCCTTAGTCCAGAGTCAAGATTTCTAGTACATTATATATATAACGCAGCACCAAAATCAAAGTGTTCAGTAACACAAACCCCTTCCCATGTATGTACAGAACCATATTATAGAAGTATTATAATTATTATAATAATACTTCATTTCAAGGCAGCCAGTTGGGTTGGGGTGTGGTCACATTTGTCATACAAGTTTTGTTCTTAGGTTTTCAGCAAGGCTGTAAAAGAAGGATATTCAGCCTTTTTCTTCACAAGACAGTTGAGTTTTACATGATACATTCATGGTGGCAAAGCTACATGTATTGTACAACAAATGTAACCAGGCCCTTACCATGATCACACAGACTATACTTTGTGTTACAGTTTCCTTGGAGATCCAAATTCTGATGCAACAACATAAAGAGAAATATTAAGCTCTTTTGCAATATCATGTTTTATCACATGTGTAAAGCATGTTCTCCAACCACTTTATGACAATTGCAACATATTCTGTCATTTTATGGTACATTGTACATGTACTTTCTGTGCGAATCTGTCCAAAACAAGCTTGAAATCTACCATGTACAATGTATATCTTCCATGGAATCACTCAATTAGTATTGTGTTGACAAATTAAAACACAGGCTGTCCTTCTGCCCTGCCAAGATTGTTGCAATAGTTCAATCATAAGAAATAACAGTACAATTATTATATCATTTTTCCACCATCACATGCTTTCTACATTGCTGAAGTTATATCAGATTCTGGACATAAATTCATTGTTTCCTTTATACAAGTATTAAATCTCTGATCACAATTTTTTTCAGTGTTTCTTCATGTCACACCTGTCCTTTGATCTAAACATTCAAGCAGTTCATGTTACTTATTTAGCTCTTGTGGAAGAAGAAACCAGTCCTATAGATGCTGAAATTTAGGATTAGTAAATTCAAAGTGACCCCGTAATATTACAAGTTTAATAAACAACATTTTTGTTAGAGCAAAAAGGTGAGGAAAAGGAAGATGATTATTATTAAGTACTTTATAAATATTCAAGTTGAAGAACCTTTAATCTTTGGATACCAGTATTTCAAGGATGCTCATCTTTTCAACAAAACTTATTACAGTTGAATCAAGGAGGTTAAAATCTACCTTGGTTCAATGTATGATTGTACAACATCGTCAATTTTGCAGCCTTTCTAATGCAATATCTGAATATCATTGAATGGCAAACTACATGTAAGGCCATGTTGATTTGATTATATGGATGACATCCTCCGGGAGCCCCAAAACTGATGCGCGCGTGCGAATAAAAAAAAAGTTTTGCAAAAAAAAAAAGTTGTTTTCATTATGAAATCTACGTGGTCATGAGGGTTGAACAAATGGGACAGAATATTGTTTGGCGAATAAGTTCAAGTTCATTTCCTTACAATTTCGTCTTTTTTCGTTTGATTTTGCATTTTGGCATTGGTATAGTGTTTACTTATTTTTTTGTAACTTACGGTATATTTTTGCTCATTTTGCAACTGTTTTGTACGATTTACAGTATGGTTGAAACCTTTTTTTTTTTTGGAAACGGTCGAAAATTCATGCGTGCGGATGTCATCCATATAATCAAATCAACATGGCCTAATCAAAGCAGTTACTGTAGCTTGTATAAAGTTGGAAGGAGTTGAGAAGGCACTGCATCACTTTGCCATTGTACAGTCACTGTGCTACAAGTTGTCATCCTCCCATGGCAGGGGCAGCGGCTCCGAATTCCTTCTCCACCCCTACCCCTGCCGTATAACATGGCATCTTCTACTCTACGACCCGAGGAATATTAATATTCATGAGCTTGCCTTATTTGGCATGACCCCATTTCTGACTTGGGCGGCGAAGGGACGTCACCCTCCCCGCCGGCGACTCCGCCGCCGCCCGGTGACGAGCCCGTTAACGCGTTGGGGAGGCCGTGCGGGGCAAAGTCACCGAGTTAACACCTTCCCCGTGCTCGGCGGGATCCGCGCGCAGCCTCCAGCACACGCTAGCGCCCCGCCGACGCCCGCAGCGGCCTGCATCGCAAAAGTTCTCTTCCCGAGACGACGCCATGTTTGTTTTTATTTGTCACTGAATAGCCGACATGATTGGTTCCGATAGCTAGCGCATCTCATAAATATTAATGTTAAGTGCGTTGAAGATTTTCTCTGTGATACGTGATTGGCTGAGAGCGTGTCCCTGGAATCGGGTCGTAGAGTAGAAGATGCCATGTTATACGGCAGGGGTAGGGGTGGAGAAGGAATTCGGAGCCGCTGCCCCTGCCATGGGAGGATGCAAGTTGTAGATGCATTCAGATTCTGCAGTGAGAGTTACAATAATTTCATAGACCTGATTTTAAGCCAGGCCAATGGTTTATGTGCAGTAAGACTTCAATAGAGTTAACAAAAAATACAGTATGTGCATGCAAGCAAGACAAAAAAGGGGCTGTTAATAATAATGCTTCAAAATACATGTACTGCAAGTTAAGCCATTTCCTGAATATATTTAATATACAATAGAGATACTAGTCTTAAGATTTACTATTTCTACACCTTATCATTTCAGATTTTGATTTCAAAATTATCTGACAACAACCGTTACACCTTTCATAAGCACAGATTTACAAGTTGAACTTTAACTTTAAATGATGGCCCTTGCCTTTTGTTTTCAAAAGCGCAAACTTGTTACTCCGGTTTTTGTCCAAATCTGGGCATTACTTGCACCTCTGCAAGCAATTATTTTGGTGTCAACAACAGAATCATGATTTACCACTACTAGCCCTTACAAACTATATAAAATCTGTTAGTTAGTGTTCTAAGTAGAACCGAATACATTTTGGTTTATACTACATATAAATCTAACTACATTTGCTCACTCTGTGACATCCATTTCTGCATAGTGATTTTTTTTCCACAACAATGAAATCATAAATGCACATAACATGAAATCCACTGACAGTGGAAGAATATATATTCATATAATGTATTTACAAAATCTTATTATATCAAGTAATATACTAATAAGGAATTCATAATTTCCTTTTAGTTTGCAGTAAATTATGCATAACAATGTAGGTTGAAGTTAGTAAGTCCCATGAAAACGGCAGTCATAACAGTACAGTTACAGAAATACAAACTTCACAAAGTTACTGTACGGCCACAGCAAGTAATTTTATGGATGACATCAGCGCGCGCATTAATTTTCGCCTGATTTTGGAAAAAAAACAAGAAATTTTGTTGCCTTCTGACAGTGGTCACCATGCCAAAAATAGGCCAAGATGTCTGTTGCCATGCCAGAAGGTGGATGGCAGATAACTATAAAGAGAGGAGACAAGAAAAGGCTCTGATTTTATCTTTTATGTTTTGTTTCTTACTTTGATGCAGTGATATGTGATATTGGCTGTGTATATGTGATGTTCCCATTGAATAAAAACCATTTGTACAATGATTGAGTCAAAATTTCAAAATGTAAGAACCTTGTTTTTTTCGGCCCGCCTTGTTTTTTTTTCGCCCGCTCGCATTAGATTTGGGAATCTGTGGAGGATGTCATCCATAAAATTTACTTGCTGTGGCCTAAGGTACTTTTACTAGAGGACCGCCTGGACATTTTTTTGCTGTTCCATTACATCATTTTACCCTCTGACCGAAGCATTGCCCAAGAATCCCATAATAGAGTGGTCAAATGTCTACTATGACCATTTTCTTCAAGAGCCTACTACACATTGAAAGTAGTTTCTACAGACACGTTTGACTGCAGTTTACTGTAAGCAAGATTATTATTGATGGCTGGTATGCTCTATATGTATCATAAACTTCTAGTGCTGTAGCCCTTAAAGTCAGAGTTTAGGAAATAGAAATTCAAATACATCAAATTGGACACTGCCCCTGGCAGGTGGAGTAGCTGTTTCTAAAGCCAGTCAGATCAAACAATCGAGTGACAATATAATTATACTAATATAATAGTATCTTAGGGTAACTACATGTATAACTGCAGAAGGTTAGGCCACACCAATTTAATTTCTTGTTTCTCTGATATTTTCAGAAAAATATGAAGCGACAGGGTGAAATAATAAAAACAAAAAACAGGCCAAGGCACCCCATGATAGCCGGAAATGTTACGATATGAGCCATGAAGTCAACATACCAGGCTGCTTTATGATTAAAACAATAGATTTTGAACTTTTAATGAAACCAAAGTTGCATTGTTACATTGAAAAATTTAAACAACTAGGAAAGGACTTTCTTCAACCATTGGGGCCAAAATATGTCAGTTTTGTTGAAAATTTTGCAGTTGGTTCAGAACCTAAAATTTTTCTTTTTGCAAATCAGAAAAAAATGGAGAGGGCGAATCTGCGAAACAACAGATTAAATTGGTGTGGCCTTATAATAACAACATAGACAGGATACAACTGCATATAATAAACTAGTAGGCTATAATTAGCATCTATTTGTACATCACACCATGACTTGAGTCTCCTCTGACTCCTTCTGAACATCATCTTTAGCAGTTTCCTCTTCTTTCTCGCTCTTCTCTCCGTTTGCTGGCTTCAGTTTGTCTGCACTGTCCATGGACTGGGACCTGGGGATAGCCGCGGGCTCTGGAACTTCTGCTGTGGGCGGGAGAGACTGATCAATGCCACGTGTACTGGCAGAGTGCTTTCATGGACACATAATAATCATAATGCAGGGCTCGTAATTCATTTTGGTAATAGGTGCACTGGTGCACCCAACCTAAAAAAATTGGGTGTACAAAAAATATTTTAGGTGCACCATATTTGCATATAAGATAAAATACTAAGTAGAATGTCAGCAAAAATTATAATCATTATGTTTCATTTGAAGGAAAATACTATCACAATGATTGTATTATTTTTTCTGACACTTAGATGTAACATTTAACTAATAGATGCACTATACATTCAACATCTTAACATGTTAAACTTACGAAAATATTTGGATGCACTGGTGCAACCACAAAAAAAAAAAATTGGGTGTACAGCTCGAAATTGGGTGCACTAAGGTGCACATGCATCCAGTATTTTGAGCCCTGATAGTGTTTTCTATGTGTGGGACACAACACCTGGGAAAGCTGCCTGTGCCTCACATGAATTGTATCGTGGCAATTTTAATAAATCAAAAATCATGGAGGTAAAAATTTTACCTCCATGATCAAATCAAATCAATGTTAAAATGTAACTCACTGCCAGCAGTTTAATCATAGTACATTGTCTATTATTCTCATTTCAAGATACCTGATGTATGAATATGTACAGTTACATTGGAAGTTGCTTGCAATTGGGTGACTGTGAATTATAAGTACAAAGGAACTAATTATAAATACCACTAAAAATCATCACAGACTGTTTCTTTGGAAGGAACTGTACATGTACATGTTCATGTACATAAATCATGTAATTCTCCAGCAAATGAATGCTGCATGTTATGAGTTTTTTAGAGTGAGTGGAATTTTATGGAATCAAGAATACTACATGACTTGGCAAAATGAGATGCATTCTTGGTAATGAAAACTACATTTCAAAAGTGATAAGCATGTCAAGGAAAACGAATGGCTACTGTATTATACATGGACATGGAAGCTGCATCTATTAAGCAGGACAAATGCTGCATGCATGTGCAGTGTGGAAGCTTAAGTGGCCTCTACTAGGGAAAGGTCAGTGGGCCTCCATTCACAGAACAACATCTACTAATTGGCATCTCAAGCAATAGTGACTTCTGTACTGGTATTCTATGTGAGAAACAAAGCCAACAACTATAGGTTTTCTCAAAGTGATAGCAGTCATCTCTTTGGCTGCATTATGCAAACTCTCCCACCCCAATGCTTTGTTTGTACTGGCACATAAGGCCATGTTGATTTGATTATACGGATGACATCCGTGCGCGCATGAATTTTCGTCTATTCGCAAAAAAAAAAAATTCGACCATACTGTAAATTGTACAAAATGAGCAAATATATGTCATCTGTTGCAAAAAGAAATATCCACACACAGGCAAACACACCTGTCCTTGGTGCTGAACACAATCCACAAACAGGCAAACACATCTGTCCTTGGTGCTGAACACCATCCACACACAGGCACAGGCACCTGTCCTTGGTGCTGAACACCATCCACACACAGGCACAGGCACCTGTCCTTGGTGCTGAACACCATCCACACACAGGCAAACACATCTGTCCTTGGTGCTGAACACCATTATTGGAAAACGATACTAATGTCATAGAATGCCGAAATCACAGGAAAAAAAGAAAATGTGAAGAAATGAAAATGAAGACTGTAATTATTCACCATGCTGAAGTGAGATTTCATAATGATGGAAATTTTTTTTTTTTGCTGAACTTAATTTGCATGCTCGCGTCAGTTTTGGGGTTCCCTGAGGATGTCATCCATATAATCAAATCAACATACACAAAATACAGTACAATAATGTCTGACGCTTGTTGCTGAGAAGTTGAAACCATTAATTTTTGGCAAATTCCTCTTTGCGCCTTCCACATGGCCTAGTCGAGCAGTAGAGTGTTTCACCACCAAGACAGGTAGTAGACAGATGCAAGGGAAGATAGTAAACCTGCCCACCGGTCGAGTCTAGATCACGAGGCAGAGATCGTGACTTTGCCTTCATGGGAACGTCCTCGTCCTTCCCTGAGAAACTCTTGATTCTGTCCATCACCGAGGGCCGCTTGCTGGGCGCGTTAGCGGCCGGGCTGTCTTCCGACTCTACAAATGGAATGCATGAAGGGTGGGAGCAAAGTGAAGCCATGCATATGCATGCACATGAGTGTACTACATGTACGTGTATAGCCAGGCAAGCACCATGCCAATACCACGAAATGGAAGCTATGATATATTAACACTGGTACATTGCTTGTCCCCATATGACATCGTTACTGTTAGTGAGTGACAATTTGTATTTAAAGGGATGGACAACAAAATTTTTGCAGTTGCTCCTCTGGAATTACAACTGCACAGAAACATCCAATTTGATATTTTTTTCCTGAGCAGTCTCATGATCACTAATCTGCTTCAGAACTGGTATGAAGATACATTTTACACAATGCAACTATGAGGCCACAGCAAGTAGTTTTTATGGATGACATCAGCGCATTAATTTTTGCCTGATTTTGGAAGAAAACAAGAAATTTTTGTTGCCTTCTGACAGTGGTCACCATGCCGAAAATGGACAAAGATGTGATGTTCCCACTGAATCAAACCATTTCTACAATGATGGAGTCAAAATCTTAAAATGTAGGAACCTTGTTTTTTTCGGCCGACTTATTTTTCTTCGCCCGCTTGCATTAGATTTGGAGTCTGCGGAGGATGTCATCCATGAAATTTACTTGCTGTGGCCTAATATTGAGTTCAATTTTGTTGTCTATCCCAATGACTTCCACTCATGGTGCATCTGAAGAACAAAACCTCCAGAGCTGTGCACTGTGCTCGACAGGAAAATAAAGTGTTGAAATTGGACAAAAAGCAAGCAGAGAAGTGAAGGCGAAGAGAAGATGAAGCTCAGGGGCTAAGCACCTCACCTGTGGGGTTACCATGATTGTTTTCTGAGGGCTGGTGAGTGCTGGTTAGGGTGCTGTCCCGTCCCTTCACCTCCGGTGTGTCCCCTTCTGGTTTAGGGACAGCCTCTGCTGTTTCTACGCACACTTTAGGCACTTCAAGGTTAGGATTAGAATCTGTGGCATCAGGTGATTCAGTGCTGTCCTTTCCTTCCTTGTTTTTTTCCTCAGACTTTCCTTGAGGTGGGTCCTCCATATCATCTTTAAGTTTCGGAATGTTTATCTTTTCAGCCGATGCGGCAGCTCTAGGAGGAAGCTGCCTCTCCATGGGTTCTGGTTTTTTGCTGCTTTCTTCCAGCAGTAGTTTTCCAACTGTGGGTTGTTAGATAGTCATGCGTATACATGTACATGAGATTGACATTGTTCCAAAACTTTACCAGCAAGTTAAATGTGTGCTGTGATACTCCTGATCGAATTGCAGTGCAAAAATTAATGAAATGTAAACTTATGAGTAATTATGGTATACAACTAGAATCATCACATGTATAGTCTATTTTGCTTAACCAGAGCCCTTGACTATGTAATAGTTCCACATGCAGTGCAGAGTGCAGAAGAAAACATGCAGCATGCAGAAATTAAAGGAGCAGCCCAGACTGAAGTGTGAAGAAAATATTCAAAGTTTCATGCAATGACAACGGTACTACCTCATCAACACTACAAACTAAACTACATTGTACAATGAACATATTCTACCATGCAAGTAAAAGGCAAATTTGCATAACTAATTCATGTAGCAGTGCAGTTGGTAACCTATGCTTCACATGCTTCTATAAACATTAAGTGGCCTTCTAACAAATTTTATGAATATCTGATGAAATATTCATAACCTGGTAGAAGCAACAGTCACTAAATTAATTAATAAAAAATTTAATATTATTTCATAATTGAATTGTGCTGCCCATCCTTTTAACCTTCTTCCTGCTGAGCTACATGTGCAGCATTTCTGCTCCAAATTTATATAATTTGGTTATAATATAAGGCAGGACAGCAGGGAGATGGTTAAAAGATACCTGGACAGCACTGCTTCAAAACATTGCAAAGTTTGCATGCAAGTTTTGGGTAACGCAGGTCTCACCTTCTGCTGATTTTGGTCGCACCGGCACCTTAGGCTTCGCTAGCGGCTTGGGTCGAGTCGCGGGAGGCTTGGGCTTAGCCTTCACAGCTGGTGAGATCTTGTTCCTCTCACTGGTATCCTCCTTTATAGGACTTGTAGGGGACTTGGAGGGGTCTGTAGTCTTGTTGGGGCCGTTTGGTTCCAGGACAGCGCTGTCACGTGACCTCCGTTTGGCAGGTTTGGGAGGGAGACCCTCGGCGGAGGCAGTGGGGCTGTCGTCCTTGTTGTGCCTCCTCAGCATGCTGGGAGATATTGCCGGCTTGTTCTCCAGGCTTGGGGATGCTGCGGTGTTCTGTCAATAAAATGAAACATTCCAATTCCAAAAGTCATATAATAAGTAAGCTATTTTAATAGCTTACTTATTATATGACTTTAAAAAGCTATTAAAATAGCTTTCTTAGTCAAGTTGTTCAATCACAAACAGACATTTCTTGGTGAAGGGCCATTCAGGTTTTTACAAATAATTATTTAATTTCTAAAGTCCTTCCTACACCAGAATGATAGTTCAATATAGGTGGCACCTTATCACTGGTTCAATAGCCTTTGAGTCACACAGTTGTGCAGTCACTACAGCGGAGGGGGGGGGTAGTCCACTCGTAGTCTTTGGTATGACTTGGCCAGGGATAGAACTCAATAGAACTCTCTCGACTACCAACTTGGCCATTGCCAGTTACACATTAAGTTATTTTATACCGCTGCCAACGCAGAGGACAAATACAGGACTGGACAATACTCATGTTCACTTGAGTTAAGTGCGGAAATTTGTGTAAAGTACCTTTCCCAAGGGCACAAGATCAGTGGCATGTCAGGACTCAAACCAGGGACCTTTTGGCTCCGAGTTGAGCACTCTGCCTCTACACAAGACCCCACATACAACTACACTGTATTTCTAGTCTAATAAGTAATATCTTTAAGGGAAAAGTTGTCACCTTCTCTTCCCTCCTCCTGATGCTGCCAGGTGAGACAGATGGGGATGTGGAGGAGTCTTGTACAGGTGATGCAGACTGATGACAATCAAAGAGAGGGTCAGGAGAATCAAACTTCATGATCATTCAACTGTCTCAATGTCTATCCAGGGTTGGACAAGTTTTAAAAAATCCACTGGCCCTATCGGGCAAGTACAAGGTCATTTCCACTTACCCGAACCAACTTTTCACTTGCCCAAAATATACATATTTCAATGCATTTTTACTTCCACCAATTTTGAAATTGTCTAATTTTGGAGTTGATAATGTTGGATGCTTTATTTATGGAAATAAGGTGATTTGACTGGCTCCAAACACCGTAGTGGCTATACTTTGCATCCAAAAAATTTACTTGTCCAATCGGGCAAGTGTAGGGGGATATTTACTTGCCCGAACAGTACTTTTACTTGCCCTGGGCAAGTGGGCAATGGGACTTGTCCAACCCTGCTATCATGCACATATTTAGAGACATATTCAGTCCCACAACACCTACCAAAGCACCAGAAAACTGTGTTGCTACAATAGCTACCAAAAAAAATGGCATGCACCTGCACCAAAGAGTGACCACCATATTATGTGATCACCACACAAGCTTTCTCTATGTTCAGAAATGTTAACATTTCTACATGTACGTGATTGACGTTGTGGAAAATTTTTTTATTAGGACACAGGCTTGTGCAGCTTTTAGAGAAAGAATTTCTTGAATGTGCAATCCATTATTTAACTGGTAACACAGCCAATTCGCTACAATGCATTCCTGGCCCACCCATGGCCATTGTCTGCCATAAAAAGTCCCAAATTACCAGGTTTATGTACACTACTACACTACAGAGCCACCACTGTGATACCAGCCAACTACCAAGTTGTACACCCTATGGTATAAAATGGAAACCTTTGCTCTTGGAAATGAAGGAGATCGATTTGGAGAATGTGAATTTGACCGAGTCAACATTCTCGAGTCCTGAAACTGGAATACGTATAAATATGAAAGACACTATAATTACGAAATCTTTAAACAGTAAAATATGCCTGCTTTTGGTGTTTTAATACAATATGAAATTTGGATATACTGAAAAGTTTATTCTGAAGCCCAACTTGCTGCTGAAAGTAAAGATTTAAAATTATATCACTAATTTGAAGGGAAATGCTGCAGTAATCTCATCAAGTCACATTGCATCTGGTTTTAAACCTACAATGAATTTCTTATTATCTTTCATACTGTAACATGGCTTAACCTTTCTGATGTCTATCTGCACTAGTTTACAACGTATATATACAAAACTAATGTACATGTAGGTCTATGTGGACTTTCCTTTGCTGCATTAACTGTTACCACCTACCGTATTAAAGAAATGATGGCAAACAGTTTTTAGCATGTCCAACAATTCCTAAATTCTGATCAGTGGTGCAGGTAAAATGCACCTGGTTTAGTGCAGGTACAGTCATACATGTACCGGGTATGCAGAGAAAGTATTTTGATTCTTGATTAGTCAGTCTAGTAGTGGTAGAAGTAGTATCCGCAGTGCACGCACCATTTCTGGAGGAGGCAACATGGTGGCCCTCTTCTCCTGTTTTTTCTTCATCTCAGCCAGCAGTCCCCCACTCATGCCCGGGAAACCCTTAGGAACACCCGCGGGCCGCCGCAGGGCCACCGGCTCCTTCACGGCGGGAGTTTCCTCGGCGTCTTCTGGAGCGTCGTCTGTGGGGTTCTCCTCAGCATCTGAGGAGCGAGGCTTCTCCTCCGGTGTCGGCTGTTCCTCCACCTTTTCTGTGTCCTCCACTTCCTCCTCCTCTTCTTGTATGGCGGTGGGCTTGGTTTCTTCAAGAAGGGAGGCAAGAATAAACATTAAGACATTGCATGTACTTAAAAATATACCTGTTTACCAGTCTAGGCCTAGGAAGAAAAGTGTTTCCTGTTTCAGTCCTGAAAAAATTAGGGTCGGTAGGTAGGGATTATCTTTTTTTTTTTCTTCTCTTTTTTTTTTTATAGTTTCTTTAGACTTAAGTGATATCTATATAGGGGTCCAACTCAATACTGTACAGTTTAAAAGTGTCCTCATGCAAGTTTTACTGTTACATAAAAACTTGCATGAGGACACTTTTATGTTCAATGTCAATGTTAAAAAACCAATTGTATAACGTTATATCACTCAGGTGTCAGATCATGGAGTTAGAAAAGGTTGATCAGGTCGAAAAATTAATTATTTTATGTCCCTTGCAGGGGTCCACCCAAAAAAAGTCTAGGGTCGGCAGGTTTTTCTAGGACTGGTCGAGAAACAGGAAACACGTGTCACGTTTCCATGCCACTCTGTGGTCCACACTGGCAAGGCCGCACTCTCTTAAATGTCCCTCTTGACACACTCAATTTAGGACATACAAATGAACAATAAAATAACATTAGGACATGAACAAATCCTACCAGTTTGTTCAGGTGAAGACCTCTCCTCTCTCTCCTCTTTAACAGGAGGTGGGGACGGGGTTGGGGCAGGAGGAGGTCTGGTCTTCTCCAGCGATTTCTTCTGAGCGACCTCTGGGCTCTTCTCCTTAGACCTGCCGGGGGACTTCTGGAATAACTGCGAGAACATGGACTTCTTCTTCTTCCTCTGACTTTCCTCCTTCTGCAGTGATGAGGGGCCTGCTGCAGGTGGAGATCTGGGGGAAAGACTGCAGATAATACAAATACAATGGACAATGAATAAGACAAAATTTCTTTCATTTAAAGTCTTAGTCTTCCGAAGGCTTTTCTTAAAATATAATGCACAATGTGTTAATCTTAACTATAGAATATATATTACTATACAGTAACATTAGACAAGAAAATTGTTTTTAAACAGTCTTCCAGACCTCATAACGTTTCAGCTCTTTTGTTCCTTAAGAAATGGTCTTAAATGGTATGGACACGTCAAACAATAATTCATACCAGGCACTAGCCTCCGTAGCAGGCTTATAGAACTGGGGATTTGGTGGTCTTCGGCTGTTTAGCCCAGTTCTAACGGGGGTAATTCAACCAGGACGGCTATGTTGTCTACATGCAATCAGAAAATAGCACATTAAAGCTCTCAAAGACCCTGAAGACCCCAAAACCCCCCAGCTTTTGGCATGCTATGGAGGCTAGTACACTACTGATACATGTAGTTACATGATACATCATAGAAATTTTAGAAAACATGGATGCTAGCAATGTATGTGTCCTGGATGTTTGATCAAAAGTGCAGGAGTGTTTGGACCTTGCAACAGTTAACAGTGGGTTTTGATAAATTTCCTCACTTTTCCCCATTAACAGCATGAGTCTCTTCACTCAGAACAACGTCCAAGGCTTTCTTCTCAAAGAAGTCATCCAGCCCAGCGTCCATTGTTCCTTCTGGGCTGTTTTCCACACTGTTGGGCACGCCCCTGTTCGGTACCGGTCTCCGTCGCACCCCCGCTGTCCTGGGAAAACATCCAATGTCAAGACATGTACTACAATCAAGTCAGATGTCCCTACAAATAATCAAGTTAAATATAAGAATCTGACGACAACATTTATGCACTTTGCTTGATTCCATGTCAATGAATTGGAGTTAATTTTGTGCTAGAACATCTAGAAGCAAAAACATGTAACCATGCATGTAACACTGAATGTACAAAGAAAGAGAAAAAGGCAATGCCATCAGGTAGTTTACTGCATGGTTGTATTACAAAATGACAACAAAAACAAATAACAACAACAAACTTTGGAGCCTTTATCCTGCCCTTGGTGAGGTGCTCCAGACGAGCTCCTTCTGTTGGAAGCTCTGACACGTCGTTTGAGGAAGAACTCCCGGTTGAAGACGACTTTTCAGGCTTCCTCCTGCTTTTTCTGCTGGGTGCTACCGGTTGTGTGGATTCTTCTGCTTTGGGACCAGAGTCAATATCTGTGATATAATGACATTGTAGCATTGTTACTTCAGTCCATACCATAAGTATGGATGATACATTGTTTTTACTCAATGACATGTTTCTTCTTCTCCTGGCATTTCGTTTAAATCATTATGGATTCCATTTCCTCATTTTTGAGCCAAATGACCTGGAATGAATGAATGAATGAGACTTTATTTCCGTGTCGTGCGCTATCCCGTGCCCAGCCTGTGTGGGCTTATACGACACCGATTCCATAAATTATACATAAACAAAAGAGAATCAAAGGTACAGATAACAGAATCCAAACAAAAATATGAACATAAATAAAGGTAGGCTATATACAATAATGGTAAACAAATAAGTGAACTCAAAACAGATCGTAAATGCAAATAAGCAAATCTGTACCTGGAATTTGGTATGATGGTATAGAATGGGCCAACAACCTCAGACATTTTTTTCTGATACAGGCTTTATTATACATAGTACATATTAAGCATTTTGTATACTACATTTATTTATTACTTAGACACACTAACTCAACAGTGCAATGTTTATTAATAATATGTATTCAATAGAATAAGATATCAAATAGACAATACCTTCATACATTGGTTCTTCCTCAACAGAAGAGATGGTCTGCCTGCCTGACTGGTCTTCATCTGATCCAGAGGACAGGTCTAGCTTGACGTTTTCCTCTCCTGAAGAAAAAGATGATAGAATCATTCTGTCTTTAAACTTTGAAGTTGATCATAGAACAACATTTTTTCCATTGTAATTAAAAATGCAGCAACATTTCCATTTTTTAAAGGTTAAAGAAATCTAGTTATACAGTAATATTAAAGGCATGCAGTGCAGTTTTTAGGGCTTGGAAACCAGATTTTTCAAAGCCAATATTCTAGTCATTTATCTACACAGTGAGTTGAAACTATATAGTCCCAAAGTATATTGACACTCATGGAGCAAAAATTCCCTAAATTATGATGGAAAATGGTTACTGGAAGGGCCCTGGGCTGATTTTTATGGTACCACCCAGAAAATAAATGACTCATCTTGGAGCTTGTTTCTGCAGTTTTATATGGCCCAAAAGTATGAAATACTGACTCAAATGTGCTAATGTGAAGCAGTATGTGTCAATATCACAAAAAATGCCTTATTCAGAATATGGGTTTTGCTGCGCTGAAATCGCATTGGATGCCTTTAATTCCATTAGCTAGTGTAAACTAACCCATTATAGACATGGGTCTCTGCATCCTCTGCACAACACTCCTCCTCTTGTTGTCTATCTTTGGTGACAACTGTAAAAGATCATTAACAATTAATTATACCATCACAGACATTTTTTCCAGACATGCAAAGCACTGATCAATCAATTTCTGCAAGGCGTGACTCAAAATACGAAAGATGATTAGTGATATTCAAGGCATTTAGCAGCAATTATACAGTTAAGAAAACACACATTACTATTGTAAAATACATACAATACAATCAAAATCAAAGCTTATGTGGAAGGGAGACAAGCTGACCTAGTCCTCTGGTAGAGGACAACCCCTACATGTACATGTACATGTACATGTACAACTGACTCAAAAGAGTTTTTCATTTCATTTTCATTTTTCAGCAGACTTCAATAATTTAAAAACAGTTTGAAGTTCTTTTTGTTCCCTGCAACAGTATGAAAAAGCAAAACTACAACAACAAAAACAACAACCATGCAAGAAGGGAAGAATGTCATGGACAGAGATGTCTACATCCACCATGCGTCTGTACTTGATGCCCATGGACGATTGGCTTAGGCCACACCAATTCAATTTCTTGGTTAACGGATTTTTCTAGAAAAATAATGGAGCGGGCGGGCGAAAAATAAAAAAAATAAAAACGGGCCTAGGCATCCTATTATGGCCCAAAATGGTATGATAGGAGCCATGAAGTCAACACACCAGGCTGGTTCAAAATCTAAACAATGAATTTTGAACTTTTAATGATGCCACTGCATTGAAAGATGGAATTAAATAACAGTAACAGCTAGGAAGAAAAGGACTGTTTTCAACTGTTCAGGGCAAAATATGAGCATTTTTCAGTTGATTTCGAACCAGAATCTTTTCTTTTTTTGCAAATCAGAAAAAAATGAAGCCGACGAATCCGTTGACCAAGAAATTAAATTGGTGTGGCCTTATTGAGAAGAAACAAGAAGAGAGAGCCATAGAGCAGAAAACAAAGAGTGCGCCATGCAGCACCATGACCTGTGGGGAGGGGGTCTGAACCTGGTTCAGTTTAGCGTCAGGAGGGCTGGCTGTGGGGGACTGCGGTGATTCCTCTGGTTTCTCCACCTCTGTCGGTCTGTGGGACGGGCTAGCAGGCTCAGGTTCCACGTGGTTCTGCGCAATATTTTGCTGAGGGAGGAAAAAGTGGAGACCAATCTCTTAAAACAATGTTATCATAAAGTTAACGTACAAAAAATGTATTATTTTTTTCATTCTCTGAAGCGTCTAGACTATGTCAATAAATCCTGCTTTGAGAGCCTTCCTTGTAAAAAAAATGAGACATTGTTATTAACATTAAAAAACAATCTTGGCATGGGCTTTCAAAATGTCTCATTTTTTTTACAAGCAAGGCTTATTTTTAATACACAGCAAAAGGGCCATCAATGCAACAAACATTTATCATATACTCACCTTTTCTTCATAGAATATACACAAACTGACCTCTTTGTGTGATATCAGTATCATCATTAATATTTTATTATGACACAAACGTACAGAATAATCAGTATGTGTTTAAAAGTATGTGTTTAAAACAGGAAAGATACCAACACCAACCCTTAGTATTACAAATTTAGTATTTTGGGTAAACCTTAGATCCAAACAAGACGTAGACAGAAACATATATTTTTCCCTTAGCGTACACACAGGTATAAAATTAGGTTATGTATTACATGTACATGTACTACATGATTTGTATCTATAGTAAGGAGCATTACGTATCACTAGTGAAAGGAGTTAAAGGGGATGTGGGAGTGACCTTGGAGGAGGAACGACCTTGGGCTTCCTGCTTGCGCTGCTCACGGAACTGTGCGCTCTGATTGGATGCAATTACGGAGAGGATACACATGCAAAGAACAAATTAATGATTGAGATATTGTGGTAAGGCATGCCATTACATAATAGAGAAAGGACTATAGAAAGACTAAATGAGTATATCATGGGTACCTTACATGATCGAGAGAATTAAGTAGGGTGACAAAGACGGGAATACGTGGTAGGACGTGCATATACTATCATCTGAAAATTTAATGCCTTGCAGGATTAAGTTGAAAAGCAAGAATAGGTGACAGTACCCAAGTACAAGTGTATTATACCATACATGTAACCCTAAATCATTGTTAATTACATTTCACAAGTTGCAAAGTTATCTACTACTAGTGATGTGGTTCAATGACATGCCATATTTACAAGATGTGTGCAAGTATATTTGATGTAAAGAATTCAACAGCTACATAGTGTACACACACAGCTTAAAAAAATCCTGTGACATCTGAATGAGACCTTTGCCTTCTTCAAACACATTGGGATTTCTGTTCTATTCACCAGTTTCCCATCCCCAGAATGCAATGCGAAAATAGGGGGGTGACCCTCATTTGCATAGGACTGGAAGGCATCGGAATGATCCTGTTGACGTTAAACAGCTTGCTTTTCACTGTGTTTTGAGGTGTCGGGGCATTTTATGCTCAACATTAATTAAATTACTATGGGCCGAATCTGACAACAAAATAATAGAGAATGAAGTTCTAGTGTTCTTTTCAACATGGAACATGTGGTTTGTAACGTTACAGCATCAGTATAGCGTTAGAAACCACATATTCAAAAAAATTCATTCTCTATTTGTTTTCAGATTCAACCCGTAGTAATTTAATTAATGTTGAGCATAAAATGCCCCGACACCCCAAACACAGTGAAACGCAAGCTGTTTAACGTCAACAGGATCATTCCGATGCCTTCCAGTCCTATGCAATTGAGGATTACCCCCCTATTTTTGCATTGCATTGTGGGGATGGGAAACTGGTGAATTCTCTGATCTTTTGCCCTGCTGTTTAACCCTGCAAAAGGCTACCCCGGCAGGAAGAGTGTTAAAAAAGGAACACGTTCTCACCAAGGTAGCGTGGTTCTTAGCCAGGGATTCCAGTAGCTCCTCAATGACTTTGTCTGACACAAAGGTGGCGATGTGCAGCTCACTCTCTCTGTAAAGGGGATCAACAGGAGATTGCTGTTAGGGTTATTGTTTGCATGGCACTGCCATGATCATGATTTTGAAGAAGCCTTGGTAACCTCCCCTCCCCCGGGTCTATAGTGAACGAGCCCCGGGGTGACAAAAAGTATGGCATCGGAGGCAGACAGGTTTTCCCAAGGGTTTCCAGGAATGTGGGCATGTCAACAAACAGAGCTGGGAGACATTCCTGTGGACATTCCATGCCTGTGGACAAAATTCCTGTACAATTCCTAGAATTCATGCAAATTGCACACAATACTGTTACCATTAGGCTCCTCCCTGAGACGTCGCCAAAAAATTTAATTTACTTAATGAAGAGAAATTATGATGATCTCTGTAGTATACTTATATGTAACTACCTGACTTTGTTGACAATGGTTGTCCCTGCCTGGTTGACTATGGCGTCTTCCACTAGTTTGTCTGGCAGCTTACTCTTGTCCCGACACTCCTGCTCTAGAGCCTGCTTCAGCCCCTGCAAGGTGAAGAATGAAAAAAAATTAATCTGATACATTTTGGATGTCATTTGAGGAACACAAAGTCGAGACTTCAACTCCCAATATTGAAAAGCCGATTGGCAAAGCTGGACATGAGATCCTTGCCATTTATGGGCAGACGTTGTGATTTAGGAAAGGCACTTTACACAACTTTCCTCACTCCATCCAGTGTAAAAAGGGGTACCTTTCTTCGGTTGGGGAGGTAAAAGGAGGTTGAAACAGAGGGGATGGCCCTGCCTTCCAATACTGTGCCTTAGACTGAGTAGATTAACAACCCTTTGTCCCTATACATTCTCAAAAAGGCTATGGCTCTACCTTTGCTATTAGACTAAGTGTGTCATTATGCAGCAAGTTTAAACTGTAATTTCCAACAAAAGAAATTGGACTAACCCAAATTTTTTAACTGTACAACTCCAGTCTTTGTCAAGGAATGAACAATCCACCGCTTCCGTGACGTCACGCAGTGACACGTGACTCCGTGAGCAGTGGATCATGGGTTGCAGAAAGTCTGTGGCGCCCCCCGTCTCTGTTGAGGGATAGTTGTAATGCCCTGATGTAGATGGCCTCTTTAATCCCTCATGCAAAGAAATCCGGTTCTCAGTCCAGGCACAGACTTTCTGCAACCTATGATCCACTGCTCACGGAGTCACGTGTGTTATCTGCGTGACGTCACGGAAGCGGTGGATTGTTCATGCCTTGACAAAGACTGGAGTTGTACAGTTGAAAAATTTGGGTGAGTCCAATTTCTTTTGTTGGAAATTACAGTTTAAACTTGCTACATAATGACTTCTACAATCACAAATGAACTTTCAAGATAAGATTAGTGTGTCATGTTGACAGTTTTGTGTGTTTTCCTGACCTGAGTTTGGAGGATGTGTGGACACTGCTGCTGGCCATACTTCAGGACGTTGTCCACAGAGGAGGCCATGTGTCTGTCTGTCTCCTCCTGCATCTGCTTGGTCAGGCTGCCCAGTTTGGTCTCCAGGGGGTGCTGCTCCCCCTCCGTCCCAGCCCCCTGCTTGTACAGGAGGGGTAGGAGCTGGAAACATAACAAAGAAGTACTCTGTTATCATCTCTCTCCAACATAGCAGAGCTACAGCATCTCAATGACAGTTCACTATGTTTCTTACTACTTCGAGGGTCCACATCACTTTCGCACCTACAAATTCAAACTGTAATGTTTTCAATGTACTTCAAAACTTCATTTACTGTACGGGTAGATAGGACAAAGCAGTGGCAAATGTGCACATGGAGAACAGTCACTGGTCAATGGACTTTTGTGGGATATACATGTATGTATAAGGGCTTGATTTTCATGATTTTCATGATTGTCATGATTTTCATAACTGTTTTGGATCGGTTTTCTCTGTTCATGAACTGTAATGTAATTTGTTTCCAGGGCCTCAGTGGAAGGCAGTGTTGAGAGAACAGGCCAAAGCATTGGCAGATATGCAAATGAGAACAGTCACTGTGCATGTGGTCAATGAGCTATTGTGGGATAAAATTCAATGCATAAAGAGATCGATTTTCATGATTTATTTTTGATTGTTTTTCTCTTTCCCATTACTGGTGCAAATTATAGCTCAATTGGTAGAGTGCTCACTCAGCACATATGAGAAAGAGTGTGGGAAGGTTAAACACACACAGCACTACCAGTGGACTAGCCCCCTGCTGTAGTGCCTTGCACAACTGTGTGTAGCCCAATGGCTACGAAATAGAGGTGGCCCACCCGACGTTTGGGATAAGAGCACAGAAGACCTTCTTCTTCTTCTTCATTACTGTATGTAGCACGTCAGCAGAACGTACTGCGCCTGCACAGAACCCTGGATTTTCGCGGTTTTCGTTGGATTTTTGGTCAACGTTGCATTAAAACTTTGCCTGTTGCAGACGATATCTTTTCGGACACAACATTTGAAAACTACTGTCGGAATGCTAACCTTATATGAGCAAATACAACCTTATATGAGACGTTCTGACAAAGTGCTATGCACAATACATTTGCGCAAGTGCAGTACATTCTGCCAACGTGCTACTGTAGGTTATCTGTTTTCACAGCTTTAGTGAGAGGTACATGTAGTGTAAGCAACTGATGCATGGATGACAGTCAACCTGATTAATGAAATCATAGAGAGTTTTAACAAATGGAAATCATAACGGCTTCAGAAGCCGCACCTGTTTGGAGTTGTCTGCATCTGAAATGAGCCTGTCAGACTCCTGCAGCGCGGCCTGCACCTGCGGGGACTTACTGTCCTTCAGAACCGCCCTGATGTCCTGCACCTTCCGCGACAGCTGCTCCACCATCTGGTAAACAACAAACAACAACAACTTGTTGTTCTGAATTATCCACAATCATTAATAAAACACATCTGTACTTATATCTACATCATTTAATTTAGTAAGAAGCGAGAAGCCAAATTATCGTAATTATTAGACTGTATGTCGGACTCCATAGTACATAGAATTAGCACTAGCTTGTACATTGTATATATTCATTGCAAACTGTGATGTCTTTTCTGTGACTTGTACTGAACCCAGTGGGTATTTGCATACAATAAAGGTCTTCATTCATTCATTAATATAAGAAAACTACTGGTAAGACATCCAAAAATAGTTTCATCAGGTTGCTAAAGTATAGAAGACAGGAGTTTTCTTTTAAACAACCAAATTTTCTCACCTAGTGGTGCTGATGTTTCAGTGTCTATCAGACCAGTTAGAAGCTCTGAGGAAAGTGTCAATAGACACCAAAATGTCAGCACCATGCATTAGGTGAGAAATTTTGGTTGTGTAAAAGAAAACTCCTGTATCCTACCGGTATGACAGTCTGAGGTATTGAGAACAGAGATACATAGCCAGGGCTCGAAATACTGGATGCATGTGCACCTTTAGTGTACCCAAATTTGGAGCTGTGCACCCACTTTTTTTTCTGTGGGTGCACCACTGCACCCAAATACATGTTAAACTTTGTATTTTCATACAGTGTAGGTTTACGTACTATGTAAAGATGTTAAATGTATACATTTGTAGTAGTATACAGCATATTCCTAACATCAAAAGATCAGAAAAATAATAGAATCATTGTAACGTGTTATAATAGTGCTTTTCTTTAGAAATGAAACATATCTTTCATTAATTAGTTTTTGCTGACATTCTATTTATTTTATCTTATATGGTGCACCCAAACATTTTTTTCTTCATCCAACCAGTGCACTTATTCTCAAAAGCGAATTTCGAGTCCTGATAGCTGAAGAAAGAGACATTACAATGGGTCATGCAGTATTGTAAGATGGGAAAAAAGTGATTTTACAGTCTAGGGGGAACATACCAGTCCTTGGGTCCACTGGGTGCAGGGTAAGAGAATATAGAGGAGACGGGGTACTGAAGTACACAGCACAGAAGGGTAAAGTAACAATCATCACAACTGTTAGTGTAGGAACCTAGTACCATAACGTCTACCATCCCTGAATGATATGTTGGCGTTATCTCAAAATTCTGCCAGGTACCCTAAGACTGTCACATTAAAAAAATTATGTTATCAAGGCTTTCCCAAGAATGTCTTGATCAGCTAGATATCTAAAGTGTGCATGCCTAAGGGATTAAAGAAACTGTTGCTTCAACAGCAGATCTCTCATTATATTTTTAATTTGGCAGTCTTAGGGTCACTACAAATTTGCTAAGACAATGAGCATTGGAAATATGACTAAATGACTATTAGGTCAAATATTTCTGGAACTATAAATGTCCACAGACAGACCTAAAGATACCATAATATACAATAGAGAGATTTGTAATTTCTACATTGTGAAACTTGCATCCAAAATTGTGCTGTTCATTCACAAAAAGGATGAAATGAAGTGACAGAGAAACATTTGTTAGTTTCATTTCCTCAACAGCTGTAACTGACTTTCTGTGTAGGAACTAGATCCCTAGTAAAGACATCTGCCTTGTGTAAGCCTGGCATGTTTTGAGGTGAGTAGTATAGTGGGAGCCTTCTCTGACCTGTTGTGCGGTGGTGATGAGGACGCCCTGCTGCAGCCGGTAGATCCGGTCACTGGTCATCTTCAGGGGACGTTGGTTCCGCAGCAACAAGGTCTCAATCTAGAGGATACAAAAACAAATTGTAGGATAGATGTTGCAGTTCTCTTATTTTTAGCTAGAGGTCCCACCTAAGCTTGAGAACAGAAACAATGCATACAACTTGTATACATGCCATGTCCTTGGTGCTGAACAGACATCAATAAAAAAGTTCTTCTGTTTGTTTGTTTGTTTGTTTCTTTGTTTATTTCGATCCCCATTAGTGCTTAAAAGCACTATTCTTCCTGGGGTCAATAAAATGAAACATAAATAACAAAACTTGTACATAATGATGATTACAAAATAATAAAGTAAGTTCAAAATCAATAGGAGAGGTCAGAGGTCTACCAAAAAAAAAGCACAAAATAATCTGAACATAATCCAGCGTTGTACGTAAACAACAAAGGTGCCCACAAAATTATGAAAGGTATAAATAACTTAAATAACTGAATAGAACATAATGTCCAACTGATCATAATTCCAAAGATAATCTACATTTTGTACTTTTTCACCATGGGACCAGAAGCAATATTCCTGCCTACTCTACCATACAAATCAGCAGTATGTATTATACTTTTCAAAATGCTACATACAACATGTCATGTCCTTGGTGCTGAACTGACATCAATTAACCTTCAGCATGCTAAGGTAGACATTTGGTGCCAAAGTTGTATTGGTTATGGGTTGAGGCAGCAGAAAGAAGGTTAAAACCTTAGGGACAGAGGCAAGGTCTTCTATCCACTATCAATGCCACAATTTCCTCATTTTCAACTGTGTACTACATCTGCAATCATTTGTCCAACAAGACTGGCAATGAAAACATACATTGCCATGGTGACGGTGGTTCCTGTTAGGGTTATTTTTTGCATGGCATTGCCATGATTTCATGATTTTGAGGAAGCCCATTCCCCAAGTGTGTAGTGAACAAGCCCCAGGGTCACAGAAAGTAGGGCATCCAGGGAAGACAGGTTTTCCCAAGGGTTTCCAGGAATGTGGGCATGTCAAAAAACAGAGTTTGGAGACATTCCTGTGGACATTCCATGCCTGTGGACAAATTTCCTGTACAATTCCTAAAATTCTTGCAAACTACACACAATACTGTACCATTAGGCTCCTTCCTGAGACATCGCCAAAATACATACAACATGTACACATGTTACCTCCTTGGTGCTGAATTGACATCAACTGAAAAAAGCCATCTTGAAATATTTTTTTGTGAGAAACCGAGCTCCCTTACCTTTTGCAGTGCCTCCTCAGTTCCAGCTTCATCCATCCTCAGGGCCTGTGATGCATCACTAACTGGGGTGGGCATGTTCTGTAACGTGTGGTTCCTAAAGTGTTGTGCAAAAAAGTTTTGGTTCAGAGTCACTCCTAGCTTATAACTTATTTCAAAGCTCTGAAAAGTAGATTTTTTTGCTGGTATATATTGAGAAGTAATAAGCAAAAAAGTTAGTATAATTCTTTTTTTACATGTATTCATTAATTCTACATGAATTATTGTTTTTTTTAATAGAGACAAAACATAGTTACAGTGACATAAGTACTGACTTTTCTAGTGCAGCTCCAAGGTCCTGGAATCCCCTGGTGGTGATGCCATTTTTGTCCAGCATTATGGTCCTATAGGGGGGGTGTAGGAAAATGAAAAATTAGCCATTGAAACAAAACTCTGATACAAACAATGCTCCAAAATATTCAAGCTACAATTACCAAGTTATTAAGATGGTAAGCATTTTCTAGAAAACAAAACCTTCCTAAGCAGTTGTGTGGATAGCAAGCTCTGCAAGTTGACAGAAACTTTTTCACCAGTGTAAAGGATCCACTTCATATGATATCAATACTAAACATAATCATAAACTTGAGTAAAGAAAGTTTGACAGGTTGGTGAAGTTTAGACATCCAGGTACAGTGTAATAAGATATGCCAAAAAACAGTAACTGTTACTCAAGCAACTGGATACGATTTTGGAAGGTTTGACACACCTTAGCTTGCTGTTGATCTGCAGTGCTTTGGATAACATGCGGGCACCAAAGTCACCCATACCGTTACCACTAAAAAAAAAAAAACAGATGAAATTTCACATTAAGCTTTTCATCGATAGGAACTAATTATCAAGCAAATGGAACTGAAAAAGGTCAATATTATTTAATGTTAATAACAGAGATCATCTAAGAAAAAGTTTTCAATTTGAAAGTAAGTAATACAAGCATGTACCTTATATCCAAACTTGTGAGGGAGTTGTTGCTTCCCAACACGTTCAAAATGGGTATCAAATTCTCCTTCAGCTTTGAGTCAGCTAAACACAGAGAGTCAATACTCTGGAAAAAACAACAAAGTCATGAGACACTTAATACACAAAAATTTGTAGCAAATTGTAGCCTGGTATATGTTACATGACTGTATAATCTTCTATAGCAAAAATGGCCAAGTACATACCTGTGCATGATGTCAATAATGTTAGCTATTCTACATTGTAGTCAATGTAAAGAGTAAATCTGGTTATGAGCAGTTTGAGTTACCTTAAACTGGACAGCTTTCTTTATCAAAATCAAGCCTCAGAGAAAAACACACAGAAGAAAAAAAGCAAACAAGGGAAATGTGTTAAACATTAAATAATCTATTTCTAATAACTGCTTATTATAACTCATCAAAAGTAATGTTATTCAAAAGAAAGGAAAGCTAGATTTAATAGGCAATTAGAAAGAATATGGTTAATAAGAAAGGGTCAAGAGAGGAACTGCAATAAGTAACTAATAATAGATCATCTGTGACTTACGGAGTTGTCCTCTTGAATAAGTTTCTTTACTGCTTCTAACACTTTAGGGAGATGTCTGTAAGTTCAATGGAAAACACAGGTAGGAACTAGATATTAAGTAACATTTGCAAAGCAAATGCATAATGTTTACATTCACATACATTCACATTACGTATATGGTGACAGGAGCAGAGCAGACCATGCAATTGCAACATTATGTAACCCAACACCAGTCACCATGGTGACAGACGTCAACAAATCATGTCATTGGTCAGGTCATAAGTCACTGTTTGGAGAAGAAGAAGAAGAAGAAACGGAGCAAAAACAGTATGTTTTCCTTCGATAAATATAAATACTAGTACTTGTGGCTTAAAGGTTCAATTTTGGATTTTGTTGTCTAGTGCAATGTGCAACATGATTTTCTTAATAATTTTGCACTTAGAAATAATTGGAATGTGCAATTTTGCACCTAGAGTAGGAGGGGGAGGGGGGCGCATTGCAGGCAAAGAAGCAAATATTTACCATACGTTATTTTTATAAGCACTATATTTTACTTTTATGATATCATACAGGATAATCAAGGGAAACAAATATGCAAAATAAAAATAATTTATTGCTCTCAGACTGTTGGCAATGTGATATATAAAATGTTTTTTGTTTTTTTTTCAGGAAGTTCCAACTGTTACTCTTAGTTTGTGACAAACCAGATGGAAAACGTGCAGACAGACAAAACGTAATTTTGCACATGAATTTTTCAAATTGCAAATAAAATTTTTGCTAACATGCGATTTTGCATGTACCTGAAAAAAAGTATTTCGAGTCCTGTAAACATATAGTTCCATGGATGATTGAGTGCCTTTAGGCTTTACTGACCTGGGTCTGATTCCTGAAAAGTTCTTGCTGATGTTCAGATATCTGATGGCCTTGTTCTGCCCGATCCAGCTCAGCATTGTCTCCATATGTTCATCAAATCCTACAGAATGTTGACCAAATATTTCAATAGTACATAGAGCATTGTGTACAAATGTATATGGTGGTGTAACGTGTTATTAAAAATAAATGAAAGCCCCTCCTTATCAGTCACCACATAATACATTGTACATTTTGTACACAAGAAAATCACTCAGAGTTAGGCATTTGGGGCCTACAAAAATTGTGACAAGTAAATTCAATGTAGTGCTACAAGCTGTCTCAAACAGTTGCCTTCGAAACTACAATGTATCAAATCTAAAGGCACTTTTACCATAGATAAATAAAAATAAATAAAATTTCAATGCATTTTATGACTGTTATGCAACTTATTTGTAAGTGATGATTTGTGCATAACCACTGTACCATTGTCACTGATGTCCAGAGTTGCAATACAGGGTACATTGGCTATGGTACTCTCCAACATCTCTCCTCCTGTCTTCTTCAGCTGCAGAAAGAAATGAACAAAAATTGAACGGGGGGTGCCACAGACTTTCTGCAACCTATGATCCACTGCTCACAGAGTCACATGTGTTATCTGTGTGACGTCACGGAAGCAGTGGATTGCTCATTCCTTGACAAAGAATGGGGAAGTCCAATCTCTTGTGTTTGCAATTGCAGTTCAAACTTGTTTCATAATGACTTCTACCAACACAGATGAAGTTCCAAGATAACAAAAAATGTCATACTTTACTAACATTGTCAGAATTTTTTTACTAAATTCAGATATTTAAGTCTTACATCCGTATCACTTCACATAAATTCACCATGACAGTTGCTTCGGTCAAAAAAAAGTCTACAGCTGGAAGACTTTTTTTAAATTAATGATTGTTAAACATACAAAGTTAGAGATTTTAGAAATTCAAACATAATTTTGCCCACCTCACAGTTGCTCAGGTCCACATGCACGTCCCTCAGGACAAAGTTACCTGACAGACCCAGGAACAAGGACCTGGACAAGGGAAGGTAAACAACCGAGGTGTAAACAATTGTTTACTGTCAACAAATAAAACATGTGTGGAAAGATAACATTCACCTTTACTTGCAAACTCTGTCTGCCCACAATGTAGGTTCACCTATTTTTTTCTCGTAACAAAATTCCTTTGGCAAAATTGGAAATCATTATGGTTGAACAATAAAACAATACACTAACACTATATCCCTTGCAAAATTTTGTTCCAAATTTCATACCTTGGCCGGCATATATATTGTACACACAGTAGTAGAAGAAAAGATTGTAGACACAGTAGAAGACACGGTAGAAGAAGAATAAACTTCAAGGCAAATCCAGGAAAAGCAGTAAACCATTTTTCCTTTCCCCTATTGGAAAGAGTAAAAGTATCAGCAATACTAAAAATGTTTTATTACTAAATCATCACTTACTTGACAGCATCTGGTGGTAGCTTTGTCCCAGACAAACTGACGTGCTTCAGAGACTGACAATTAAGAAAGAACTGGGAGGAAGAAACAAACAAAACAGTTGGATAACTGTCAAAAACTAACTTGCCAAAGTACCCATAGGCCAGAAAGTTACATCTTTGACTCATTTGAGCTACATTCTATCAAGGACATTGGAACACATGTCCTTGATTCTATACAATACTTGAAGATTTTTACAATTCTGTAATAATTATATTGTACATGATTGTACAGTATCTACCTGGGAATATAGCAACTATTAATATGAATTCATGCTAACCTCTTTAAATGATGCACTGGCAATCACAGGTTCCTTGGATTTTCTGAGTGAGAAAAAAAATGAGTCAATACATCAAAAAATATTATCAACATGATCTAGGCTCTAAGGTTAGGATTATGATATATCTAAAAGGTAATCTTTGACACAGTTTACCAGACAGATATGTATTCAGCATATTGCAAGTTACTTTGTCCACATCTAACACTCACATACTGAAAGTTTAACATTAATTTCGCAAAAGATTATGGTTACCTGCGTTGTCTGTGTGTCACATGTTTTTTTAGTTCCTCAATACATGTATGTCCAGGCTGTGTGGGTGTGTGCATATGTGGGGGGAACCTGTACATGTGCCTGTTGTACATGTAGGTGTCAGTACATTGTGCAGATTAAACATGATACTTGTTTAAGTTTACAAGATTCCATTTTTGTAAGGTCTTTCTAACAAGCGGTGTAATGTCAGGGCTCAAAATACTGGGTGCATGTGCACCTTAGTGCACCCAAAATTGGAGGTGTGCACCTAATTTTTTTCTGTGGGTGTATTTCTGTAAATGTATAATAGTATACCGGATATTCTTGGTCTCTAAGTATCAGAAAAATAATAAAATCTTTGTTGTAGTACTTGTTTAAGATTTTGAAGTTAGCTCTCATTTTAGATTCAAGCTCAGAAGAGGAGCAGTAAGACCTGCAATTAGGTTTGTTTCATATGGTGCACCCAAAACATTTTTGTGCACCTAATTTTTTAGGTTGGATGCACCAGTGCATCTATTCCCAAAGATGAATTTCGAGCCCTGAATGTTAAAGCCTTTGTTTGGTAAAAAAGGTAAAAAATTATAAATTATCATCTATAGATAAGTGTATTATGAAATACCAAATTTGAAAAAAAAGCTCTTTAACACCAATTTAATTTCTTGGTTAATGGATTCGCCCCATTCATTTTTTCTGATTTGCAAATAAAAATAAAAATTCAGAATCAACTGCTTAAAATGCTCATATTTTGCCCTGAACAGTTGAAAACAGTCCTTTTCATCCTACTTATTACTTACTAACAGTTATTCCATCTTTCAATGCAATGGTATCATTAAAAGTTCAAAATTCATTGTTTAAATTTTGAACCAGCCTGGTGTGTTGACTTCATGGCTCCTATTGTTACAGTACCATTTTGGCCCATAATAGGATGCCTAGGCCTGTTTTTATTTATTTATTTTTTCGCCCGCCCGCTCCATTATTTTTGTAGAGAAATCCGTTAACCAAAAAATTAAATTGGTGTGGCCTAAGTGCTGGACATCATGTTTGTGAATTGTAAAAAAAAACATATTATCATACACTAACATCTTATTACCACATACATCTACCACTACACAGAATGACCAAATTCAAGTTACATCAAAATTGTGTACTAAACAAACCTCAAGATATATCCACAAAGTGAGTGTGCTTGGATCGGGTGATGCATGAGAGAGGAAAAGACGTGACGCATGCAAATAGTAGTACAGATTAATATAGCTGTTCATCAAAAGTAATAAATTGTAATAAAGAGTTTAGTACAGCATAAGCAAAATAACTATTAGAAGTATAATTGATGCAGCAGCAAGTGAATCAATTAGAGCAATAAGTAGTATGTTGGCATTAATTAAAATTATATCTTGTCTTTTTTATACCATTTGAAATTGCTCTTGGCAATTGTGTTTAATTTACCAATATACCATCCCATCAGGATATTCATTCTATGTTTCCATGTCAGGCTACAGTGTTGTACATGTACATTCAAGCAAAACTGACTGAAAAGTAGTTTGTTGATAACAAAACAGTATTGGTTACAGGATGAGGCAGCAGGGAGAAGGTTAATAAAGGGTTAATGCCCCACCTGAGGTTTAAATTTCATTTATGTCTTTTGTATTGTATTTTAAAACAAGTTATTCAAAATAAATTACATTTTGGATAAATAAATACTACAAGTCTCAACACTACTGTTACATTTTGTAGTGTCATGTCCCCTGTATAATGGTTCAGTCCAAAAGTGATCGGTTATTCTAAAGCACGTCGGCAGAACGTACTGCACCTGCGCGAAACCCGTAATGTATTGTACATAGCACTTCGGCAGAATGTCTCATATAAGGTTGTATTCGCCCATGTAAGGTTAGCATTTCAACGGTAGTTTCCAAATGGTGTGTCGGAAAAGATATCTTCTGCAACAGTCAAAATTCTGGTGCAACGTTAACCAAAACTCCAATGAAAAACACTAAAATCCAGGGTTCTGCGCAGGCGCAGTATGTTCTGTCGGCGTGCTTTATTCTAATAACCGACTGCTTTTGAGGTTAAGGCCTGATAGCCAATGGGAAATGGAGCCTTCTGATTGGTCGACGTCCTCTGGTGATATGATAAATATATTGTATTATATTGTTTTTAATATCTACAGTAACTGTTTTTACTATAATTACTAGTAACCTTCTCCCTGGTGCCTTGCCCTGTAAGTTAGTGTAACCAATAATTGTAGGGAATTGACTACTACTGATACCCTGCATTGAAAATTAGCCACATGAGCAGTTAGTTCATGGTTATTGCAGCTGTTCCTTTCCAGGACATTGTAGCAGTAACTTACTTGTGGGTGAAGGTGTTTCTGCCCAGACTTAGATACTGTATGTGCTGGATGCAGCCCCTTTTGAAGGCACCAAATAACTGTGAAAAAATGACAAAGCTGATTACAATTATAACACCCAGAACCCATCAACTAAACTTCGAGTACTAGATACTACAAGAAACATAGATGTAGGTGGCGTAACCGCAGAGTTCTTGACTCGGAACCAAGAGGTCCCGGGTTGGAGTCCTGACATGCCACCGATCTTGTGCCCCTGGGAAAGGCACTTTATATAATTAAATGAAATGAAATACCTTTACTGTACATTCATGCCACGACGGGCTAGGTACAGGTCAAGATATAACAGACACATAACAAACGTATATAGAAAATTGGAGACAAAAGATGCACTACTTGACTTAGACATACATACATAAGGAACATACAATGGTACTATACTAGGCTAATACAAAGTGTTCTAGTCACTGAGCTAATATAGAGAGGTCAACTTCAATAATAATAAAACACAACTTTTCCCCTTAACTCAAGTGAAAATGAGCATTGTCTGTCCTGTATTAATTTTGTTTCTATGTGTGGAACAACACCAGCAACAGCTGCCTGTGTCCCACGTGTATTACACTGTTGCAATTTCAATAAATCAAATCAAAATCAAATCAGACTGATGTACATGTAGGTAATATATATTTTTATGACTGTCAAACATGCATGCTTGTATGGAATCTAATAGTAACTGTCATGATTGCTCTCTAGAGAAATCTGATCTCAAATGCATGTATGCAATAATAATGTATTGTGATATGGATGAGTGTTGAATGTTGATCGTGAGCTAATGTACACATAGTCTCTACCAGACTAACTACACTGGCTATCTAGGAGAATATTTGCCAGTGGAGTTTGGCCGCCTTGTAGGTTTGACTGGCTGCGGAGGGGAAGAAACAACCTGCCCGCGGCCGGACTCCCTTGGCCAAGTTTCCTTTTTTTGCCGAATTCTATGATCCGTGTTCCCGTAGAAATGCTTGGTGGAGGCTATGCTATACATGTACATGACTGTGTACATAAACATGTACTCACTGGATCAATAGCACACTCAGTTCCTGCCAGGTCCAAGTGAGTTATACCATTGGGCTGGGCAAAAACACCTTGGAGATTCTGCAGACAATAAAAGAGTGAATATACATGTATATAGTGGGAGTCTACAGTTACATTCAAGTAAACATTAAAACATTAAAATTTTCACTGTAACAGTTGTGATTTTTTTTTGTGATTACATTTATTAAAACATGCTGCCAACAAAAAGATACATGTATTTGCCACCAACTATTCCTAGCTGCCACTTTGTAGATGTTTTAGAATTTAATGCAGATTTTGCTGTTATCACCAAGCTACATTAAAATTTTGACTTCCTGATCTCCTAAAACATTAATTATGGACAGCTTCCTTTGCAAGCCACCATAGCTTGTTTTTAACATAATTATCATCAAAACTCTCAACACACCTGTCCTTTTTCAGCCTACATTTAACACAATGTCGATCATGAAGAAAGAAAGGAAATAGCAGTTATTGTAGCACTTTTGAAAGATTATGTCATTGAGTCGCAATGCATTGTACTAAAATACTTTCCTCCTTCCTACATCTATATGTAAATACATGCATCTTACCCAAGCTTTAAGAGCAAGTGTTTCAAACTTACATGTACAAATTTCTACAGATTTTGGGTGAAGAAAATCATTACTTTTCATTGAATTATGATTTCAACAGAACTGCATAATACAAAAATGGATTGAAACATGTTTGGAGCTGTCACTTTTCGACTTGAATTAGATTTTCCAAATTTCTGTGACCTGTGTTAAGGCCACACCAATTGAATTTGTTGGTTCTCGGATTCGCCTCTTCATTTTTTTCTGATTTGCAAAAAAAAAAAGTTTTTCCATCTATCAATGCAGTGTTTGATTAAAAGTTCAAAATTCACTGTTCAAATATTATCCCAGCCTTTTGTATTGACTTCATGGCTCCTATTGTACCATTTGGGGCTATAATAGGATGCCTTGACCTGTTTTTATTTTTTTATTTTTCGCCCTGTCACTTCATTTTTTTTCTGAAAAAATGTGAGAACCAACAAATTAAATTGGTGTGGCCTAAGTGATGATCACAAAGCTTACTGGTAATCTTTAACAATAATAGGTACATGACAAACATTGAGACCAGCATTACCAGAATATCCTCTGCCCTGAACATGTTGTCTGCTAGGTGGAGCTGTTTGAGGGACTGGCTGGTGGACATCAGCTGTAGGGCCAGGTGACTCACACCTGCAAAAGTCGGGAATATTTATCATAAAATTACCATATGTACTGGGTTCACAGCTGCTCAATCAAAAACAGAGCTCGAAATACTTATTTTCAGGTACGCACAAAATTGCATGTCGGCAAAAATTTTAGGTGCAATTTGAAAAATTTATGTGCAAAATTCTATTTAGTCAGCTTGGAATTGTTTTACTGTGTGTTAACAGTTTTGAAAGTGATATACGATTTCTTTTACAAGTGGCTCAGTGGAAGGATTCTGCAAGGATTATGTACACCCACAATAAAATAACTGACCTTCCTAGAAGTAGTTTGTGTAATTTGCATAATGTTTCAACTTTCAAGATAAAAAATTAAAAATGAAAAGCTTTGAAACAAGAAAATTTGTTGTACATGTATATATTTCTCTACATTAGCTTGAGCTCTCCGACAGCACGATGCCGACACAGCATTAAACTTTTGAGATATGCAGTGCAAACATGTTATAACGGTATCTTATACATGTAGGTGCAAAATTGCACATTCAAAATATTTTCATGTACAAATTTTGGAAAATCATGTGCATTTTGTACATTGCACATGGGTATTTTGAGCCCAGTTAAAGAGATTTAATTTTGTCTGCAGATTTTTTTACAACTTTTGGCTGCCTTCCTCAGAGCTTAATATGAATCCTATTGATTTATATAAATTATTACATGTATATGTTAAGAAGGAGAAATTGTTCACCTTTAGCAGTCATGCCAACTTTGGTCAGGTTCAAGTGCTGCAAACCTCTGGGAAGTTTACAGATGGGTCCACTGATAGCATTCACTCCTGAAAATTTGAACAAAATTAAACATATTATTAACATTAATACACATACAAAATGTCACTACCAAAGGCTTTTGTTGCAACAATAATTTATTCTTGTTAACACATTATACACATTAGGGCTAGAAATTCATTTTTGGGAATAGGTGCAATGGTGCACCCAACCTAATTTTTTGGGGGTGCACCATATGATAAAGTAAGTAGAATGTCAGCAAAAACTTTAAATTGTTCATTTCATGTTTCATTTCTAAAGAAAAGTGCTATAACTACAATTATTTTTCTGACACTTGGATATTATTAACTTAAGAGCATGATGTATACATTTTAATTACATGTACACGTACATGTAAACCTACGAAAATATTTGGGTGCACTGGTGCACCCACAGAAAAAATTGGGTGCACTAAGGACTGGTGCACATGCACCCTAGTATTTTGAGCCCTACACATTTTAAAGCAAGTTACTTTTCTATTATACCTGTGCCTGAAATCTATATGTATCTGTATCATTCTGTATCTATATAGCCGGTACAACCGCCTTTCGGCGTAACACACTAGCTGCGCAGGCACGCGGCGCGGCGGCAGCTGGCTATATTACACCGATCGACTTGTTACACCTAACACTCGTACATCTAACTCTAGACATTGTTTAAAGCTATTTAATGACAATGCCCCTACTGTACTTGGTGACAGTGAGTTCCACTCTGCGATAGTTTTAGGAAAGAATGAATTCTTGAACACCTCAATCCTCGGTTGATAACTCTGGTACTTGAAGGCGTGGCTATTTCTTGTTCTCTATGACTCTCATTGGTGTAGTAAGGTCTAGCACAATTCTGACTGTCCTTGACTTCAACTCTGGTCAATTAGAACAGTATAAAAGAACCTGTACATGTAGACAAGGCCATGCAAGAACGGCCAGAAAGTTTCGTTTCTTACCCCTGTCCTCTAAGTGGTTGTGCGACAGGCTTACAGTGTGCAGAGCACTGTTAGTGTTGGACAGCAGGGCTGTGGCCATGTGCTTGGCAAACTCCCTGCAAGATGAGGAATATTATATAGTTGTAGTCATGTCACTTCAAGTTCATTTCTGATCAAAATTTTGTTTTGGTTGAGGCTCACTGATCCCATTGACACATAAGGAGTATCATTTAAGTCTTTCTTTCTTTGCATGACAAACAATGCATATACATAATTTTATTATCTGTTTCAATACATACATAATAAAAATGTGTTATACAGCTTTCATGAAGAGTATTCATTGTCAGAGACAATGGAAAAAAACAGTGACAACTGTTTTAGGGTTGTTTTACTATCAAAAATTGATAGGATCTGGTACAACATTGTCAAGTAAATCATGTGGATACTAAAAATTAGCCAAACCTGGTCATACAGCTGCATTTTAAAGGTATCTTACTTGTTAAGGCCAGCATTCTCCAAGACAAGCTCCTCAAGTTTGGCATTTTTCTTCATCACCTTACACAGCTGGTCACTGTGCTCAGCCTATGAACAGCATAGTCATATTAAAAAAACTTCTTTTAGAATGTTCAAAATTCTTTTGATTAGAGCAAGAAACATTGTCGATCATACAGCAAATAATACATTTCATATTATCTACAGAAAGAAAAGTGATACAGTAGTTTGACAAAAGGGAAATTTTACTAAGTAGTAGTTGTTCAAATATATCCATGAACTTTTTAATTCTTGTTCGTGTCTTTTCCTTAAACAATATCTGAATCACTTTATCTAGCTAGCACCACATGTCAATGGTCCTGTGACAACACAAGAAGACTTACCAGTCTTGTGTGGTAAGATGACAGCTTGGTAAACCAGGTATTGTGTTCCAGTGCTGAGATGATAGGACCCAGGTCTCTGTAGACAAGATGACATTACTGGTTAGAAACATCTATCTAAGATACATTTTGTTAGTTGAGTATCAACAGAGAAAGTGATCTCGAACCAGTTTAGCTCATTGAAGAGCTAATCTTCCACTGGTTGTGACAGAGAAGACATGTATATACAGTATTTACAGGTTCATTGTACCAGGGAAATTCCCCTAGCTCTTTTTCCCCAAGCATAATGAACAGTGGACCACGGCTTAACGTCCCGTCCTAAAGACTGCGACCCAAAACAGTAGCGTGCATGTCGGGTGAGCGACAACAGCCGGGATTTAAACTCCCAACCTCTTAGTCCAGAGGCAGGATCGCTAACCACTGGACTACGCACGGGGATGATTGCTTTACCTTAGGCCACACCAATTTAATTTCTTGGTTAACGGATTTTTCCAGAAAAATAATGGAGCGGGCGGGCGAAAAAAAAATAAAAACAGGCCGAGGCATCCTATTATGGCCCAAAATGGTACGATAGGAGCCATGAAGTCAACACACCAGGCTGGTTCAAAATTTAAACAATGAATTTTGAACTTAATTTTTAATGATACCATTGCATTGAAAGATGGAATAACTGTAACAAGTAGGATGAAAAGGACTGTTTTCAACTGTTCAGGGCAAAATATGAGCATTTTGCAGTTGATTCTGAATTTTTATTTTTATTTGCAAATCAGAAAAAAATGAAGAGGCGAATCCGTTAACCAAGAATTTAAATTGGTGTGGCCTTATATAATATTATATAATAGTATTGTGTCTAGTTTTCTCCCTCTACTGGGGGCATATCTCACTTTTTCCCTTATTAGGAAATCTAGGACACTTCCTTATTAGCTGCCCGATTACACATTATACAGGTAGAGCCAAAAATGTCTATAAAACGGCTAGCGGACATTAGATATGATTTAGACATTGCTGTACAAAGGTCAGTCGGAACATAACATCGAAATAACCCAAGATAGACATTTTATACCCATAGTCTCTTCACACACCAGACCAGGTAGGGACAGCCCTAGGAGACAGTCCTTTGTTTAGCACAATGCGTACTGATGTTGTAGAATATAGTATAATGTTAGAAGTAGATATAGACTCACATACCACTGTATTTTCTTTCTATGTTGCTTGTAACTGCAATTAGCCCTTGGGCAAGTATTTGCAATAAACTTTCTATAGTTAAAGATTAGCATCTGTCCGTTAATTAATTGCGTCCCGCCCTCTAAATTGCCTTGGCTTTGTGCAGTGCTTTTCACATGCATGCTAGTTTTCACAGTTTTTTTCTAAAGACATTCTGACAGACACCACATGAACAATGGAAAACACAACAAGCAAGTCCTCCCCAAAAAGACCCTGTAAAGACCTGGGAAAGACATTCTTACAAGTGTTAAAAAAATGTCTGGAACTTTCGAGAATGCCCAATGTCCAATAGCCGTTTTATAGACATTTTTGGCTCTACTATAGCTACTGGTAAACAGCAAACCTACTTGCTGTCCATGTGGTTGAAGTCATCTAAACAGAGTTCTCTGTTGGCCTGAGACAGGTAAATTGTGTCCACATCCTGGAAAATGAAAATAAGAAATTCAATAGAGTCAACTGTACTTATCTTTGAAAGCTTTTTTAGTGTTATGCTACATGTATTCTGTATCTGTATTTGTATAGCCGGTATAACCGCCTTTCGGCATAACACACCAGCTTCTGTATCTGTATAGCCGGTATAACCGCCTTTCCACGTAACACACCAGCTTCTCAGGCACGCTGAGCAGCGGCAGCTGGCTACATTACACCGATCGACTTGTTACATCTAACTGTAACTTAGTGTAAGACCTAACTAATTACTCAGTAGCATAATGTTCCAGTGACCTGTAATTCTATGTTAGGAAAACTACATTGTATTAATCTCTTTTGAATCATAAATTGCTTTTCATTTAAGTACGATGTCCCAACTTACCCAGATGACCTCCTCTCTGACTGGGAGGTTGTGAAAGTCACACATGCAGGTGTACATGGCAGAAAAACCACCTGAAACAGCAGACAGTTCATATATGATACAACCATACATTCACTGTTCTATACTTCAAGCTGCAATTTTATCAGAACATTAACTAGCTTGAATATTGTAAGCAGAGTGTAATGCGCCTATACAAAATCCAGAATGTAACATGTTGAAGATATCCTGTCTGTAGTTTTGTAGTGTGAGCAATCTTCAAAATACCTTAACTTAGTCAAACATTGTGTAAAACATCCAACAGAAAAACCATGGTTTTGCACAGGTGCAGTACATTCTCCCGATGTGCTAATATTGCAGATTATGAAGATGAACAGATTAAGTTAACACGAATTCATGTCAATGTCAAAAAGAAAAGAATACGTTATCCCTACCACAGGGTCCTTTTTCCTTGCTGCCCATGGTGTCGACTGCCCGCTGTACATTCTTCATCCGCTCTAACGGTTCTATCAGCAGGCTGGGGAGCAGGTTACTGTGCAGTCGTGAAAAATAGAACAACCTGAACTTGTTTCTTACTTACAAATATTATTCTGCAGTAGTGAAAAGAGCAGCTTGTAGTAGTTCCTTTGCTAATCTTAAATCAAGTTAGTGTGTCAGATTCACATGTGTGCCAGATTCAAACAATCAACTGTCGTTACAGTTCCGAACTGGTAAACTGCGCATACTACACATGACTTATCTTGCTGTACGAATGAAAATTTTACTTCTTTTGAATGGTACAATGAACATGATTTTATATCCTCTGAAAAAAAGATTATTTGAATGTGTTACAGCACACTTGAAATTATGACAGACATTTTAAATGCCTAATACTGCACTGGTAACAGTACTTTGTCTATTTAAAAATTTCAAACATCGTTGGCAAGCCCAACACCATTGACATCGCTTTCTGTAATCACTGACATTCTTTTATTTTACTTCACCTGCCGCCACTGTGAACAAAGTTCCGTGAACATCCACATTTTTCTCAGACCGTGAAATTTTGGTACCGTGAACATTAAGTGAATTACAGTTACTGTATTACAGTTATAAGGAAGCCACATATTGTAAGTGGGGTCGTGTGGCGCAGCGGTATCGCTTTCAGCTCAGGACCTAGAGGTCCTGGGTTCGATCCCCACCCATGTCACCGATCTTGTGCCCTTGGGAAAGGCACTTTACACAACTTTCCTCACTTCACTCAGGTGTAAATGAGTACTTAGCTTTGGCTAGGGCGTTCCCTCGGATAGGACATTAAATGGAGGTCCCGTGTTTAGGGAGAGCCACACCCCACGCACGTTGAAGAACCCACCACACCTTTCAAAAAAGAGTAGGGGCATGCCCCGGTGTGCGATGGTACAAATTCTACAATCCGGAGTCTTGCCAAGAATTGGCATGCCAGAATGATCAGTATGATGATCGTGGGCATTAAAAGGAAGTAGAAGAAGTAAGTTGTTACTTACTGTAATGGTCTGGGAATGTCAGGGAAGGTCCTCTTAAGTGAGACCCCGATGTGTCCTATGATGTGTTCAGCATCCTCAGCCTCGATGGGCTTAAAAACATTCCTCTTGTCCTCTGCTTCAATGTGGAGCTGTGAGTGGGATAAGATAACAGTTAAACTTAAGGCATCATCATCATGATGCTTCCTTTCTAGCTGATAGGGTTATACAGTATGTGGGACAGGAAGGAGGGTTGAGACACTTCAAATTTGGAAAGATACTTTTTTTTTTCTAATCAGTGCAGAGTGAACCTGATCTTAACATCGTATAACGATGATCTTCGGTTCAATATGTCACATCAATTCCCCTCGCTTGATTACACATACATACCCTTATGAAATACATTATACATAATACATAATTACATGATATATAATTGTCAAAAAGTAGAAAATCTCTAAGAGGAATTCAACAGGAATCTGTTTACTGCAGTCTTGAACTTAGTCATGTTAGGACTGTCAGGGAAAACCGAGGCTGGTAAGGAGTTCCACAGCCTGCTAGTCCTTGGTACATATGAGGACATGTGAAGCTGAGTGTTGGGCCGCACCAAAACAAACATTGGGTCTTTAACGACTTCAAATTGTGCTGAACAGTAAAGTTTTAAAAGTCAACTGAAAGAGCACTCTTCAGAGAGATTGAATTATAACATTGTCTTTGTTTCCCTCATATTTAGATCTAAGCATTCTCATTCCCAGTGTCTTTCAACTTACATATAGTGACCAGGGTATATACTATTGTTTTGGTCATATCAAATAATTTCTGGCAACTGACAAGCTATCAGTGATCTGGAAATCCCCCCTGCCAAATAAGCTGAAACGTGAATTCTTCCAAGCGACTGCAGTTTCAGTATTGCTGTATGGGAGCAACACATGGACGCTCACAAGACGTCTGGAGAAAAAGTTAGACGGAACGTATACAAAGATGCTAAGGGTAGTTCTTAACACTTCATGGAAGGAACACCCCACAAAGGAGCAGTTATACGGGAACCTACGACCTCTATCTCAGGTCATCAGAGAAAGGAGACTCAGGTTTGCTGGACATGCATGGCAAAGTAAAGGGGAAATCATCAGTGATGTACTTCTATGGACACCAAAGTATGGACATACAAGGGTAGGCAGACCCTGTAAAACATTTATACAACAACTCTGCGACGATACACACTGCGATGTAGCTGACCTCCCTCGAGCTATGGAGGACCGAGAGAAGTGGAGGGAGATGGTCATGGAAGTCCGAGACACCAACTCGACCAGATGATGATGATGAAATAATTTCTAAATACTAGTAACAATGCAAACAATGCCAAGGTCATAAATGACACTTGATTCTACATATGAACTTTCAAAGTCAACTCCTTTATCGGCAAGTGGCTACAAAGAGGTTAATGACCTTGAGATGCTAATCACGAGGAACTGAGTTCATTTATCTGCTTCCTTGAATAATTTTTATTTTTTATTTTTTATTTTTATTTTCGAAAATTGCGACATTCACAATACAGTGGCCACCCTGGCAGCAGAGCTGATGGCGGGGGCCACAGACAGACATGACTACATGACTATACAAACATTGTTGATTAACATATATGTTATTATATTTACAATACTAATTAAAATGGGTAAACTTAGTTGGAGGTCAGAGGTCGAGAATACGTACAGTGGAAATAATAGACAAATGCACTAGACCAAATGAACAGGTGGAAGGACACTTTAGAAACGTTTTGTTTGCAGGATGTAGCCCTGAAGAGCGGCCGAAATGTTTTGGTTTGTAGAGAGGTTGTGACCTGGAAGACCATTGAGGAGCATGTTGGTGGAGAGGGATTGATCCACAACGCTACGTACAGCGGTGGCAAGTGTTTGCCTTGCGTCCTTGTGCAGAGGGCAGTGGAGGAGGTAGTGTGCGACTGTCTCAGACTTAGCACCACAGCTACAGCTGCGTGGGGTCAAGTTGAACTTGACGAGTGTAGAGTTGAGCTGAGACCAGTCAAGACGCAGTCTTGTAGAAAGGATGTTACTGCGACGGTCACCGAGTCTGCGGAACTTCTGGTGACGGCGGGTGGTCAGCATCTGCGCTTTACACTTCAGTCTGAACTGGTTGTAGGTCGCAGCTTCCCTCACGTCCCTTGGGAGACTGTTCCAGAGCCGCGTGGTGTACGGAACGAAGCTGTTCTTGTACACAGTTGTTCTGCAAAAAGGAACATGCAAGTGTGTGTCGTTCCGTAGTCGAAGTTGGAGCTGTCTTTGGCTGTCTCTGGTAGTCGGGATCAGCACCTGAAGGTGGAGTGGGACTGAACCAGATACTAGCCTATACATGAGTAGTAATCTGTTGTAGTCCCTTCTGGTTGCTAGGCTGTCCCATTCTAGCTCTTCGAGTAGTTTCACTCGGGGTGTTCGGGCCATCGCTCCTGAGACAAGCCGTCCTGCATGGTACTGGACTTTCTCCAATGTCGTGCTGGCAGTAGTACCGATGTTACAAAGCAGGATGGAGGCATACTCCAGCTTCGTGCGCACAAGGGTGTTGTAGGCAGTTTCCAGGGCTTCTCTGGGCAGTTTGCTTTGCAGTTTGCTCAGTAGTCCTAGAACCTTGTTGGACTTGCTGGAGACAGTTTCGGCATGTTCTTTCCATCGCAAAGTGTAGTGCATTGTGACACCTAGGTGTGTATATGATGTCACTTCTTCTACAAGTTCCTTGAATAATTGACATCAATTCATGACTTACATGTACAAAGAGAATGTTTTGTTTTTAAAATTTAAATTAATCTTGTTCTCTGATATACAACTGGCACCAATAATGGTAGATGAACTGTTGATGGTATAAATTGTAAAAGAAGAGCACAGTTTAAAGTAAGAACATGGCAGTCTCGATGCCACTGTAAACAATGGAACAGTGGTGGATAGGAAACAAGATGGGGGCAGATAGGTCAACTCAGTCATAAACACTACTTATCACCCAGGCACAGTCCACCTTAGTGGGCAGTCTGAGGGACTACAGATAATCTCAGTCTCACTCACATAATCAGGGCTTGAAATTAAAGGCGGTCCGATGGCCACTGACCACTAAAATTCAGACTGGGACAACTAAAAAAGACAATTTGGGACATTTTTGGAACAATAGAAAAATAATCAACATCAGAATGTCAGCCCTTCTTTTGTTTATCAGTCACTGTCCCCCTGAATTTCCTGTCTACTTTGCAGTTATACTAGTGTGCCTGGAAGTCAAAATGTAAGCAAAATAAAGTTGACTTCAAGTTGAAGTCATACAATACGTCTTCCTGAAAAACAGATTATTGGGGCATTTCATCCTCACTTCGGGACAATTGAAATTTATTTTTGGGCTGGGACAATAGGAAGAAAAGTCAATTTCAAGGCCTGATAATCAGTGCAAAAAGATGAAATTAAACAAAAAGTTGGGGAGACATGACTACTGACCTGTTTTGTTTTTAGACTTGCGATGCTCTGTATATTCAGATAGTGGAAACTGGACTCCAGCTGTGGGAGGAGAAATAAAATATCCATATAAGGTCATCATTGTAACGCTGGTGACTTTTATGATGACATTTTGAAGTAATCATTTGATGGCACATCACATTAGTATGGGTAAACAGATTACTCATATGGATGGATGTTCAACTGTAGTGTTACAGATCCTTCATTTTCAAAAGATTTTTTTTATCTAAGCTAATACTATGAAACTCAGTTGTTAAATTATTATCATTTTGCTTGCTACAGAACAAATCCTTTTCATCAAATTGTTTTTTCTTCAGAGCTGTTATGTGCAATTTTCAGTATCCAGTGAGTACAAACTTGTATTTAGCTTAACTGAATAAGAACACATGAGTAAGTGAATAAGAGCACGTAAAGCAAATTTACTTTCTATGTCAGTTTGACTTCTGCATTTTTCTGCAACCACCTGTTAGTACTTCCCTACATGTAGTTTCAATTGAATCAATGTCAATTACTAAATACAATCAATACAAAAGCTGAGTAATAAAACTTACAGGAAACAATTTTACAAAGTTTTGTAGGACCTATTCCTCTTTTATTTGACAGTGTTGACCTGAAGATTAGAGAATTTTCATCATATTGAATATCATTTAAACTGGCTTACCTTCGTAGGCACCTTAGCTGAAAAAATGAAAGCTCTGGATTGTGACAAAGCCTGAAAAGAGAAAAAAACAACAACAATCAGCCAAAAAATAAGAAATATTTCAGAGTACAGTCATAACTTCTTAGCAGCACACAGCATAGATAATTCATTAATTAGCATTGACTAACTTCTCAGCTAAATTTGTTGAAAGCTGTCCATCTTGGCTGTCAATCATAAATAAATCATTAGTAAACTGTTCAACCAATAGGAGAGTAGCTACATGTACACTTTGGTTACACCTTTGATTTTGTACTTACACATTTTGACAATGTGGGTGTGGCTACTGCATTGACCTATTGTACATTGGTATCAGCAGCTCGTGTCTAGCAACACTACGCCCACCGTTCGTTATCAATTTGACGACTGAATCAAATCTACATATAAACCAGTGACTTCACAATAACTTCACAGTTAATTAACCTGCACACATTGGCTGGAACTCAGCCATTTGTATCTTTCGGGCGTGTTTGTGCTTTAGGCAAAGTTGAGACTACTGTATGTATCTTCATAAACAGAACTTTGAAATGGCAGTATAACAACCCAAATATCTTGCGCATTTGAAGCCACTTCTAAAAACCTGCTGAAAACAAAATGCGTACATTATGAAACAACACTGAACTGCAGCCAACACAGAAAATAGGACTCACCCAAAATGCGTAAATGTACATCTAGACAGCTTGCCTACTACTAGTATATGTACCATACATGTACTGCATAGTTACAGCATGGTAGTCAACTTGGCAAACCATATAACTTCCTTAAAATAAGTACTGTTAACAAATGTAATACATGTACCTCAGACCATCACAGAATGGGTCACATATGTTACAGTGAGAGTAAATGCATGCATGCATGACTGGTATGAGTGTGGACTGTTAACAGAACTCTAATTCCACAGCTTAGTTACATGTAAATAAATTAAAAAAACTGAAACAAGACTGAATATAACACACAACAGATCCAAAACACAATGACCTATAATTCACCTAAAGAATGATACCACTGGCAGCTTAGAAGTTAAAAGTTACATAGCACAGTGCTACATACCAAAATAAAATATGAGGAAGTTGGCAGTCTTGTCTACCGCAATTCTCACAAGGAAGTCAGATTTAAGCTCTTCCTCTTGCAACTTAACACCACTGAGAGAATCAGTTTGTTTACCTGCAATTCACTGTTGCATAACAAATCACTGTTCAAAGTCCTTTCCGAGCCACAGTTACAAACCTTAAGAAAGTGCTTGAGAAAAGATAAAGGAAAGGTGCTTCCTTGTCAGCCCCAGGTAGCTCAAAAGGTGTTGAGTGTTGACGTCAATGGGGTTAACTATTGTTGTATAGGTCAAGGGTTTAAGGTAAACGTCCTACATTATACATGCCTGAAATGTCATGTATAATTGCTTTGCTACATTTTAAAAAAAGTGAAACAGTACTGGAATGCAGATTAATACTTGTAGTATACAGAACATTCCATTGAACCTCATACTGTACTGTCAGGTGTTCCCCAGGGTGGGCTGCTGTCCCCTTTGTTGTTTGTAATATGCATCAACTTATTGGATTGAACAGATTGAACGGGTGACATGTTTCAAACTACTTGGTGTTTTTATTACGTCTGATCTGACCTGGGACGCACACGTTCAATATATGTTGTCTAAAGCTCGTCCGAGAATGTACTATCTAACCATAGCAAAGAAGGCTGGTCTGGCAACAGACATTCTCATTCGTATCTACCTGGTGTTCATCCGCCCCTTGTTAGAATATGCAAGTCCAGTATGGGCAGGTTTGCCCAAGCATTTGTCAGACATGCTTGAAAATGTCCAGAAGCGTTGTTGTAGGATTATAGGAATCCCTGTTGAATCCCTGCCTTCTTTGTCTTCGAGACGAGACCTTGCCACTTTGAGCACTATCCGACATATCGTAAATGACACAGACAACCCTCTGCATGACTTTGTATGTGTTCCGCCCAGGGCTTTAGCCAGCTCGAAATTTTTTACCGTCAACCCCAGGTCAACCCAATTCGCAAAAAAAAAAATACCGTCAACGCGAAAAAAAATTCCGTCAATGATTACTTTTAAAGAATGTCTTTCACGATCCGGTGATCGACATCACGCCCTCCCGCACACTTAATGCATTCGGTGTTCTAAATACCCGTCAAGATTGCAGAATAAAAAAAAACTACACAACCTGCAATTTTGCAGAATGAAAAAAAAAATCTACAGTTCTCACAAGGAGACAACACGCAATGAACAATCCGCTATGCCCTTTGTTTTGATCCGCTCAAATCCCGCCGCGATTCAAGCCGCGGCCATGCAAATGAACCTACTCATGACGTCACAGCCTCCGATTTCCACCGAGCCGGGCCCGAGCGCTGACCGACAGCGGGCGATGTGGCTCAGATCTCCGACGATTTCCTTATTTAGAGCGTTCGGAAGACTTCGGGTAGCAAACAAAATGGCCGACATGTACATGATTTTAATTGTCAGCTTCGCTTCTCAACCGAAATGAGGAAGTTACAACTCCTTTGCGGACTTTAGCGGCCATGAAGTTGACTTGGGGAAGCGCTGAGACGTGATTTCGCTACGGCATAGAGGATTTTGCCGCGGAGGGAGTTACGTGGCCGGCAAAAACTCGCGTGTCAGCGATCCTCCAGAAATCTTTATGCTGCCGCTCAAGTCTTCGCGGGAAGGAGGTCTGACGAAGTTTTAGATTAAATAAGGCCACATTGTGTGGATCAATCTCCGTTTTCTTGCGATAGTATGATTATTCAAGTACAGTATATTATTCAAAAACGTTTGATATTTCTTTGTTCGTTGTCACATGTTTATTTATCGTATTGTCATGTACAGTTAGCAGCGTGTGTCTGAGTCGAGCCATTGTTTTATTTTATTCTTATGTGGCCGTTAGCACATGTTGTTTTAACAGACAGCAACATTGAACAATAGAGCCAAGTCAACAGGCGTCGGCACGGTCCTTGAAATCAGGTTTCCCGCCGCCGTGCGTTTGGAAAAGACGCCGCGCCGTGGCTCATTCAAATTCGCTAGATTTTTTCCATGTCTTTACCCACGATTTTTGACCGTCAATGTTGACGGTAAGGACTAAAATTTTTACCGTCAGACGGGACAAATTACCGTCAATTGACGGTAAAACGGGCGCTGGCTAAAGCCCTGGTTCCGCCTCAAAGCACATATAACTTAAGACGAAGTAAACAGCCACGTTCCTCTTTCAGTAGAACGAAACGACATGAACAGTCGTTTATACCACGTGCATTGAAGTTATTGTTTCAGCATTCTACGTAGTGGTATAGGATTTTATATGCAAATCTGTAAATATGAATCTATTATTGTTACGATTGTAAATGTCAATTGATGTTTTATGTTTAGATTTTAATCTTCATATGTATCACTGTCATTTTATCTTAATGGATAGTCAAGGATACTTGCAGTGATTGTAAAAATCCGACGTATTTCATGTGACTTTTTGTAACATGCAAGTCGATTTCTTAAATAAACTGAAAACTGAACAAAGTAATAATGCTTTATTAATTAATGAGGGGCTTTGGGCTAGGACAAATGGGTACTCCACCCAAAGTTAAAAAGATACTATGTACATGACAATGATTTTAGAGGCAAATTGTAAGTAATGTAACATAAATGCTGGCATCATTCTATTTACTATATGTGACCACAGGGAGCTTCGTGTACTCCAATGGTGCTTGTATCAGTGGGTCAATATGAAGCATTAAGTTATAATTATAGGCCTCTACTAGGCAAAACTGTGCATGAAGAAAAAAAATGTCTCACCAGTGCCTTTGACATACAATAGAATACAACACGGTGTATTCCGTATCACCCGAGGTACCAGCCCGACCGCGAGTCGGATCGCCCGACGCCGACTTTCTACCACCTTGGGCTAGCAGTAAATTATAAATGTTACATGTATATGTACCTTTCCAAAATGTATATGTACCTTTCCAAAATGTTCAGAGTTTGTCAACCTCTGAGGGGGCCCGCATGCCCATTTTCGTAGAGTGTAATCGGCGGTACTAATGTGTTGTACATGTAGCTACCTGGAATTACTTGTTAAACGTAATGCGGAGGTTCATGAATTCAGCATAATACGTAGCTGGCTCTCAAGACTTAGCGTAGATCGTTGTCTGGACCAAGCCCCCTCTCCACCCCCATGCAGGCCCTCCACTGATATTGGACTTGGCAAAAGGGTGGAGCCGAAACTGGAGCTGTGACGACACCTTATCTGCTGTCAGTGGTGTTTAGCGCTTACTGACCATCTGGAAACCTTAAAGGTTATGAAGACAGAGAGCACAGAATGGAAAGGTGTCTGGTACTGTGGCACTGTTACTAACACTAAGGGATAACACAGCATACCAGACATTACAACTTAAGGAAGGAATTTCCTTCTTGTAACAGAAAAGGCCTCAGCTCCCGTAGGCTAGCTGTTTCAAAAACCACACTTACCAAGATGGTTAGAGTGTACATGTACAATGTATAGCTAACACATTTGAACAAATTGACTTGTCACTATTTTGACTCAAAAAACCACCTGCTAGCTATAGAGCAATATCTTTTCAAGAAAAATCTTGGACCTTTACATAAAAAGTGGACCAAAAAGTGGACCTTGTCATAAAAAGTGGACCAAAAAGTGGACCTTTTGTATCATGGCTGTATTTTTTGTTTTCCACATATTTTTGTCATTGTGTGTTCAGCATATGACTCAACAAAGGTCCAATAGCTACATGTAGGAATCCCCATCCAAATTTGACATGAAATTGAATGTTTCAATGCAAGGCCACACTGACATAATTTTATAGATAACATCCTCTGAATACCCTCAAACTAGTACGTGTGGGCGAATAAAAAAAGGATTCCAGCCAAAAATAAAAATGCTGATAAACCACAAGAATACAAAGCTGGTTTTGTGAATTTGATGTAGTACATAACAACGTTTACAATTATACAAAAACCTAGCACATGCTGGCCTTTTCCGGAATTTATGAATCCGCAAGTTGGCTACAATGGACTACGGAGGGCATGAACTCAGAGGTCGTGATCTTTTTTCTTTTTTTTTGAGAACAGGCGAAAATTAATGCACAAGCAGATGTCATCCATAAAATTAAATCCATGTAGCCTAACCAAAAATAAACAATTGATTGACATATGAGAATGACAGTTTACCTCAAAGCATAACACATCCAACATGTTACATGTACAAGGTGTAAACCGGTACTAACTACTAGTAAACATGAATTCCTATTGAAGATTAATCATGCACACTACTACATGTGCACATCTCCTCTGAACAGGGGTAGTGGCTGTACACGGGTTATGCATTATGAAGGATAACATGAATAATACATACAGAGGCCATACATACGGCTATGATATCTAATTTATACCATTGCACATGAAATATACATTGTTTTCCAAACAATTACCCTTTTTCGGCAATAAAATTATCAGTTTCTGTAAATATTTGGTGACCTCATAAATGAAAGGTCACAGTAGATGCAGCATTATGACTTGTTAATTAGATTCGATTCACTCAATGAACAGGGATATTTCCAAAGTCCATGAGTAAAATAGTATAAATAGTGAACTTATACACATGTACATGCAATAACTCCTCAAAAACCCACTACTAAGTACCAACTACTAAGTACCTAATACCAGCCCAGAAGAGAACAAGAAATAGCCATGCCTTCAAGTACCAGAGTTATCAACCAAGGATTGAGGTGTTCAAGAATTCACTCTTTCCTAGAACTATGGCAGAGTGGAACTCGCTGTCACCAAGTACAGCAGGGGCATTGTCATTAGATAGCTTTAAAGAATGTCTAGAGTTAAAAGAGTGGTTCAAGGGTTAGGTGTAACAAGTTGATCGGTGTAATGTAGCCAGCTACCGCCGCGCCGCGTGCCTACAAAGCTGGTATGTTACGCCGAAAGGAGTTATACCGGCTATACAGATACAGATTCTTACATATTCTATCTCTTTTGCATAATCTCTTTTGCAATTATGAAAGCCCCTGAGGCAAAAGTTGGGAAGAGCCAGAACTTAAATCTATGTGTACAAGCAGATGTGGGGAGGGAAGGCCCAAATGTTTTGTGCAGCTCCATTTTGCTGACAGTGTAAACCTCCCGAAAGCATTATGTCATCAAACATAGTGTTTATACCTTACAGAATTATTAAGTTCGCAAGATTACAGTATTGCAAGTTTTCTTATAATATATCTTATGTGTTTATACCATATAGAAGTATGAAATTTGCATGATTACGGTATTGCAAATCTGTTTATTGTTTATCTAATCATCACCTATAAAAGCCTGTAATTTGTCTGATGCTTCAATCGACTCATTCTTTTTAATGTGAAAAAGTTTTAATGTAAATGCAACAGTTTATGAATAATGTTTTAACCAATAAGTATTCTTATGAAGAAGTGTTCCAACTACGCTACATGTACAATGTATGTATGTTATTGTAAGAAATATGCAATTCAGCCTTGCAGCTGCAATGTCTTTTAGCGAAATAAACCATTCTACTTCTACTACTACTACTACTACTACTACTACTACTACTACTACTACTACGTACTAAACATGGGACGAACGGAAAACATTCTTATCTTTCCCCCTAACATCTGCTTGGAGATCAGTGCTTGGTGCTGTTGGGTTGCCTGGCCACATACCATTGGTATTCACTCATGGCCTCATGGGAAAAGCAGAATTCACTGACTAATAAACTCAGAACAGCCTTGTATTCATCAGTACACAAATAGACTTTCCCACCAAACACTTGCATCCACAATACTAGTATAGTACTAACTGGAAGACCAGTATCAATTGCACATTGCATCTCTTTCTGGAATTTTTACTAATTTTAGATGAGAGATTTCTGCCAAACTGAAGAATTTTTTTGCAAAACGTCAGACAGTATTTGGGAAAAAAAGCAGATGATTTAGACATAGGCTGTTGAATAATGACACAAATGAGAGTGTGCTTGTTCATCCTTGACACCTGTATCAGATTACACTCATTACCTACATACAACAGGTGTCAGTACTATGAGTAGAGATTAGTCATGTTAGTGTCACAAGATTGTGATCAATCAAGAGCACTGCTGGTTTGTTGTTAGAAGGAAGGCTTTAATTTCATAATGATGATTGACAGGGCTGTGTTTTGGTTTCATGTCTACCTAGAATATTGGAATTAAAGTCTAACACCAGATACCATTTTGTGGAAATACATTTTGGGTTGTGTTGAAGGTATATCAGATTTTCATTGTACTACTAAGTAACTATTGAGAGGACATGCAGACAAAAATGTAAAACAGAGACTCAAGCTAGGTTTAGATCTACTTAATCTATGTCATGCACTTAAGTATTGTATTCAAGAATGATTAAAATGAGAATCTAAATGCCAGTTTGTTTAGTGATATCATAATGTACAACTACAATTATTGAGTGAAATTTCTCGTTAGTATCAATGATTAATACATGTACATTTGTAGTTTAAAATGTAAAGAAAAAAACTACAGTAAATCCAAACCAGTGTCAAATTGACATCTAGACTTGAATACTTGTTTCAACATATGTAACTTCTATGACATCTTAACTGTTACCAAATACAAATGCTGCCTTATGAAAGTTTACTTCAAATGTGGTCAGACTAAGACAACATGGCCGGCAAGTAACTTACATTGTAGTACTGAACTGTTTTGCCCTCAGGCAGTCTTGTGTTGTGTTGTGTTGTGGCGTCACAATCAGTAGTGTTTGCATAGCATTAAAACTGTTATGGCTCTTGTTGTATTCTTCTCATGAGAAAATACTAACAATGTTATTCAACTTTGGTGATGTGATGTTAACAATTAGTTTCCTTTCAATGTAAGGAATATTAAATAAAATCTTATCTTTGCCTCATATCATGAGATTCTCTCTATGAAAATATGAAATTCTGGCTTGTGAGGGTGAAACAAACTATCTACGTCCTATTGTTGTAACATGTTGGGAACAAGGAGGTTTAACCTCCTTGGTACAAGTAACCCCACACCTGATGTACACAACCTAGGATGAGGGGGAGGGGCACTGGAAGAAAAGATCAGTGGGGGGAGGGGCATAGCTGTCAAACACAGCTATCTCCATTATGTAAAGGAATGTTACAGAGTCGACAACTCAGCTACAGTTTCTTCTCCCACAGTGGATAGTTCGTGTTAGCGTTGAATGTTTGCTGGAAGATACAGTACTCACCAAAACTTTCGTCTCTTCCTTGCTACCGGTTTGTAGCTTGATCAGTTTCTTCATTCCAACTTTTATCCCTTTCCCCAAAATTGCCCGAACATTCTCTGAAAAATTATACACAAACATTTGAAAGGTCAGACTATGACATTTTGTGAGCACACCCTCTTAAGGGCAGCATTCGTTAAAACTTCCTGTCCATGAAGTGGTGAGGAAAACGCCACGCCAAAAATTGTTGTTTGCGAAGAATCTACGAGCTAGTTCAAGCTCACCGGAGATGTCTTGGGGTACCCGGCTGCCTTGGCCCGCCATCGCAAGACTTCTTCGCCCCTTCCTTCAAGTGTAGCGCCAAATTTCGGACGGGGGAAGCGTCACCAGTTCGTGAATGGGGTAGCTAGAGGGGCTCACATTCGTCGTGAGGTCAAAAGTTGGCAGTTGCAGCAAGTTTTAGATGAGTAAAGGAAGTGGCGGGGTGTGTTCCCCAACATGGTAAAGGGACCATTTATTTTGTCCCGAGTATGTAAATGAAGTGCTTATACATGCAAATACCTTGCAAATACGTAATAATGTAACAGAATAAAGTAAAGTAAAAAAAGAGAAAGCAGGAGAATGCAAGAGAACACAGGAGAAAGCAGGAGAACACAGGATAAAGCAGGAGGATACAGGAGAAACCAGGAGAACATAGGACAACGCAGGAGAAAGCAGGGGAACGCAGGAGAAAGTAGGAGAAAGCAGGAGAAAGCAGGAGAAACCAGAAGAAACTAGGAGAATACAGGAGAAACCAGGAGAACACAGGAGAAAGTAGGAGAACACAGGAGAAACCAGGAGAAAGCAGGAGACTACAGGAGAAAGCAGGAGAATACAGGAGAAAGCAGGAGAACACAGGAGAAAGCAGGAGAACACAGAAGAAAGTAGGAGAACACAGGAGAAACGAGAAAGCAGGAGACTACAGGAGAAAGCAGGAGACTACAGGAGAAAGCAGGAGAATACAGGAGAAAGCAGGAGAACACAGGAGAAAGCAGGAGAACACAGGAGAAACCAGGAGAACACAGGAGAAACCAGGAGAACACAGGATAATACAGGAGAAAGCAAGAGAATACGGGAGAAAGCAGGAGAACACAGGAGAAAGCAGGAGAATACAGGAGAGCACAGGAGAAAGCGGTAGAATACAGGAGAAAGCAGGAGACTACAGGAGAAACCAGGAGAAAGCAGGAGTCAGCAGGAGACAGCAGGAGAAAGCAGGAGAATACAGGAGAAAGTAGGAGAACACAGGAGAAAGCAGGAGAACACAGGAGAAAGCAGGAGAACACAGGAGGACGTAGGAGAACACAGGAGAAAGCAGGAGAACACAGAAGAAAGCAGGAGAACACAGGAGAATGCAGGAGAATACAGGAGTAAGCGGTAGAATACAGGAGAAAGCATGAGAACACAGGAGAAAGCAGGAGAACACAGGAGAAACCAGGAGAACACAGGAGAAAGTGGTAGAACAAAGGAAAAACCAGGAGAACACAGGAGAAAGCAGGAGAATACAGGAGAAAGTAGGAGAACACAGGAGAAAGCAGGAGAACACAGGAGAAAGCAGGAGAACGCAGGAGAATGCAGGAGAAAGCAGGAGAAAGTAGGAGAAAGCAGGAGAATACAGAAGAAAGTAGGAGAACACAGGAGAAACCAGGAGAACACAGGAGAAACCAGGAAAACACAGGAGAAAGTAGGAGAACACAGGAGAAGGCAGGAGAATACAGGAGAAAGTAGGAGAATACAGTAGAAAGCAGGAAAAGGCAGAAGAATACAGGAGAATGTAGGAGAAAGCAGGAGAACACAGGAGAAACCAGGAGAAAGCAGGAGAATACAGGAGACAGCAGGAGAATACAGGAGAAAGCAGGAGAATACAGGAGAAAGTAGGAGAACACATGAGAAAGCAGGAGAACACAGGAGAAACCAGGAGAACACAGGAGAAACCAGGAGAACACAGGAGAATACAGGAGAAAGCAAGAGAATACGGGAGAAAGCAGGAGAACACAGGAGAAAGCAGGAGAACACAGGAGAAAGCGGTAGAATACAGGAGAAAGCAGGAGAACACAGGAGAAACCAGGAGAAAGCAGGAGAATACAGGAGACAGCAGGAGAATACAGGAGAAAGCAGGAGAATACAGGAGAAAGTAGGGGAGCACATGAGAAAGCAGGAGAACACAGGAGAAACCAGGAGAACACAGGAGAAACCAGGAGAACACAGGAGAATACAGGAGAAAGCAGGAGAACACAGGAGAAAGCAGGAGAACACAGGAGAAAGCAGGAGAACACAGGAGAAAGCAGGAGAACACAGGAGAAACCAGGAGAATACAGGAGACTACAGGAGAACACAGGAGAAAGCAGAAGAATACAGGAGAAACCAGGAGAACACAGGAGAAACCAGGAGAACACAGGAGAATACAGGAGAAAGCAAGAGAATACGGGAGAAAGCAGGAGAACACAGGAGAATACAG